AAGTGGATAGGAAATCACGCTTTCATGCAATTAGACGAGACCCAAATAACTCAGTCAAGGTACCACGTTGTGAAATCTGCGTAGGTGATCATGAGGCGATAGATTGTCCAAGGTTATCAAAAATGAATGTAAGAGAAAGGAGGCAGGCGGTAAGAAAACATGGTCTATGTTACTTATGTTTGAGGAAAGGTCATATTGCTATGTCATGCAACTCAGTCTTCAAGTGCGACGTAGAGAATTGCAAGGTTAGGCATAATTCATTATTGCATATTGATAGTATTGATGGCCATATGGTGAATTTAGCTAAGGATTGGAACTCCTCAAAGGTTTGTTTCGGTATCGTTCCAGTCAGACTGTACGGTCCAAAAGGATGTTTGGAAACATATGCACTTCTAGATAGTGGTTCGGACACTTCTCTTGTATGTGAAGAATTAATTATTCAGTTAGGTATTAAAGGTAAAGAGACTTCGATAAAGGTGGCGACTGTGAACTGGACTACCAATTGTGATTATTTGGAGGTAAATTTAGAGGTATTTTCATTAGATGAACGGGGTTCTATAAAGATCAACAAAGTTTACACGGCCAAGAAACTTCCGATCGATCATGCAGCACCTTTAAACAAACTCCAACTGAAGCGATAGAAACACCTAAAGGACATAACCCTCTCGAGGTTGCGAAGTAATTTTGTAGGAACATTGATTGGGTGTGATGCTCCGGATGCACATTGGGTGTTTGAACAACGTCTGGGGGACAGGAAGCATCCGTTTGCTGTGCGTACTCATCTGGGTTGGATGATTATAGGTCCTAAGGGAGTATCAAGGTCTCTACATCAAGTTCAATGGTGTCATTGTTCTGCTAATAATATTTTGCGAGATTTAGAAAGATTATATAATTATGAGTTCGAGGATACAGATACGTTTTGTAATGGATATTCTGTCGAGGATAAAAAAGCTCTAGAAATAGTTAGCAATTCGTTTAAATTGGAGGGTGGTCATTTCCAAGTTGGTCTACCATGGACGTATGATAAGCCAAGGCTACCGAATAATTTGGGACTAGCTGAACGCAGACTAGAATGCTTAAGAAAAAGATTTATGAAAGATAACAATCTTTTGGAGAAATATCAAGTTGTGATGAATAAACATTTAAGTAAGGGCTACATCACTGAAGCTAGTAAAGAAGAATTTGACCATGATGCTGTTTGTTGGTATATTCCTCATCATCCTGTTATCAACCCTAAAAAGCCTGGAAAATTGAAAATTGTTTTTTATTGTGCGGCTGTCTATCAAGGTTGTTCTCTTAATGACCAGCTTTTGAGAGGACCAAATACTGTAAATAGTTTAATTGGTGTACTTCTACGATTTAGATTAGGTAACGTAGCATTAGCTGCTGATATTGAAGAGATGTTTCTTCAAGTAAAGATCCCGAAACAAGACAGGGGAGCGTTTCGTCTATTGTGGTGGGAAGACGGTGATATGAGACGGAAGCCTAAGGAATATTGTTTAACAGTTCATCCGTTTGGAGCCGTGTCCTCCTCTTTTTGAACTAATTTCGCTCTTAAGAAGACGGTAGATATATTCGGTAAGGAATTTAATGAAGATATCCAGGAAGTCGTAGATAAAAGTTTCTATGTCGACGACTATTAAGCCTCCATTGACAACGTGCAGGATGCAACTGAGCTAGCAAAAACCCTTGCTTTACTTCTCAGAAAAGGTGGGTTTAGACTTACGAAGTGGATAAGTAACTGTTTACAAGTTCTCGAATCAATTCATCCAGAGGAGAGAGCAGAAGCCGTAAGAGAGATTGACTTTGAAAGACTTCCTACGGAAGGCACATTGGGATTATTCTGGAGTACTATGGTTGATTCGTTTGTAATTAAAGTTCGCATACGGAAACGTCCCCTCACTAGGCGAGGTATATTGGCGAGTGTAGCCTCACTTTACGATCCCTTGGGACGAAGAGATTCCAAATGAGGAAAGCAGACATTGGTTACGGATTTTAAGTGAATTTCAGGGGGTTGAGAACGTTAGTTTTCCACGTTGCGTATTGTCTCCGCAGTCAGATCGCTATTTCGCTATTTTGCTGTCACACTAAAATTTCAACCCTGCAACTAAACTTATGTTATACACCGATGCGTTGTCAACTGCATTAAAAGCGATTTGTGATGAAACTTTCGCGACATCGTCTTGTTGCTTGCTTTTTTCTTCTGAACACTTATTCTCACCACTTTCACGCCATAGCATAGTGACATGCCGATCAATGACGCGCTTTGTCTTCTTATTCCAAGGACAGGAGTACACAGTAATGAAATCATAAACCTTTATATTATTCTTTTAGTATGTCACACGATAGACATTCATCGCGGGGAGCACAACGACTGGACTATATCTCGCTACAGATATACAATCCATTGAAGGAAAGTCAAAGGTCATAGCTGACGTTATATCCCAAAAATGTCTGTTATCTAAACCAAGGCCCGAAAATGGGTTGAGCAAACATAGTAAAGGTAAAAGTAGATGATACTGGTTCAAAAGTATGCAAGGAAAGTCTATACTTATTCCTTAACAGGTCCTATTTCCTTCGTTGGATCTCACTGTCATTTGTGATGTTTGAAAAGATACTAGGCATTCTCTGGAGTGTGTTAAAAACGTGTATCTCAACATATCTACTCGCTATCACACCCTGGAATTTCGAGCCAACACTAAAAGCATAAACGAACGCTTTGCTTGGCATGCGAAACTCAGACCTTAGAACGTGGATAAGGACTTTCATGGAACGACAATGCAACATACATGGATTTGACACGTGCATTTGGACATAATCGAACCCATCTCATTATTCAGTTCTTCTACTCATGCAGATAGACATACCTGATGAACCATAGGCTGCCCCACAAACGATACTTCAGCAGTTACTTTAGAACTAGTATTTTTTTACGGTTAGACGGCAATAAAAACGTTTGTCAATGCCTCGTAATTAGTTAGTATCAAGATATATCTGCTTTGTAGCAAAGGTTAGAATTCTTGACAGCCACGTAAACGACTAATATGTCTCTCCTGAATGTGCTGATCCAAATATCTATCTAGTTTTATAACAGTGTTAAGACTCCCATAATCCCAACAAGTATGTCAATCCCTATCTCTATTATAACCCTTCTTCACTGCTAAATGCAGCTACAATGTGTTTGGGCTGCTAGATAGGCAGATGATTCTGGGCTTCATTTCGGGCCTCATTTCTGTCTTGGCGCAGCGAATAAGTCAGGTTCTAACCTCCGTGAACGTGACATCGTTGGTAGTTGTTTCACTAAAGTTTGATTTACTACTGATTATTTAACTTTATTATCTCGGTATGTTGATTCTGTATTTTTGTGATATTTCTGGACAACAAATATAAAACCATCATTTATCGAGGTGTTAATCCTGATTCTATGCAACTAGTGGTTCGAACAAATACCTTGAACTTGTAGCTTTGTGCAAGATTCAATGAACTCATCCTTCACTTAAAATGAACAAGCAGATCATGTGTTCCAAAAATATTCACTCAACATAGTACATCGAATCTATGCTACTGTAAATACCCAGCACAAACGATACCCGATCCCTAGACTAAAAATAAGCATTTACTCGTTGAATATTCACATTTTGGTTTTATTTGGAGCACTCCAGTAAATACTTACTAGTTATATTTATTGATCGGCGAGCTAATGTAACAGTAATTATTCAGAATTCTCTGCCCGTATATAATATAAACTATGAACCTAAAGTCTTAACCAGTACACAGACAAAATAACTGAAAAATCGCCAAGTAGAAAATAACGTCACTACATTCAGGTTTCCTTGTTTTTTGACTGTGAAAGAGTCCTATAAAAATAACAGGATATCACGCATTAATCTGTTTTATTTGCGTATCCGCGGAGCTACCAAAATATAGCTGAATCTCTATTCTATCTAATGCCTACAGATTCAGATAAATACATTGTAAAGTGTGATCGATAGACGAACTCACCAATAATAAGTGCAACGCCCACCACCACATTAACTCTTTTGACCTTGTACGACTGTGTCTCTTTATTAACCAATCACAGTTTGATGTTCATTATAAAACAATATTTGCTTGTTGACTCATTTTTCCTATTCTCTGGCTACTGTTCGGTATGTTATTTGTCTCTGTTTTTCCCTGTATTAATAGACGTACTGTTTGTTTGTACACTAACGATGTTAATTTATGTTTTAGAAACAGATAAAGTTTACATAGCCAAATAGCTTACTTGTTCTGACTTTGGCCAAACCAAGACTCTGTATTCGACGCTCTAGAGAATAGCTTAGAATTAAACCTGTAGGAAATTGCTCCCTACATACATTGTGAATATAAACAATCACTTCCAATAGGAAAAGGCGCCAACATGTTAGTGAATGAATCAAAAACTATCGTTTCGAGGAAAAATATTAAACTCTTCATATTTTCGGTGGCCCCTGCAGATGGATATATATTCAAGATACAGTATTACGCACAGTTAATAATGAACTAAAATGAACAATAGAATATAAATTATTCAGAACAGGAGTCATATTTAGTGTAAAAAGACACAAAACGATGATATAGCTTCATGAAAATTTTCAGTCACAGGCTGTTGCGAATAAAGCAAAAGAATAGTCGATGGAGGCAGAATTCATTTTAATACCAAAGGAGCGTATGCATAAACCAGCAAATTAATGTCCGTTCACGAGCGATATAAATCAACGGTATATATTGAGTGAAAATATGGCTACACATAAAGTGTCACGAATAAAGCGAAAAAGAACTCTTCTTCGTTATGTTGTTACAGAATTTTTGGAATGTCAATGTTACTATTATCGTGCTAAACCAATAAACCTCAAAATGCTTAGACGACATGTATTTGGCAATAAACAGAACGGCTGTAAGATTTTGATTTGTTCGATTGTAACTGTTCATTTGTACAATCATTGAGATGAGGGTTTATTCGTGAATAATGATTATTGTATATTAGCATGAACTTTTTGACGAGGGTTATTCGGATGCATGGTGTTCCGTAATTTGTTTGCGCTGGTTTCACTTTGGACTAGTTTTGTAATAATAGTCGATGTGAATGCACGCTTATACAACCTATGCGTGACCTTTTAAACACCGAGATTCAGATTGATTTGACATTAAAACTATGAGATGAAAGCTATAAAACGTTTCCTAAATTCTGGAACAAACGATAAAAAAGACAAAAGTAGACATTCCTTCAGAAAATAAGAAGAAACAAAGCGAAAACGAATCGTAAGGTCGCTGCTGTTGTTCGCTGTAAAAAATGATTGACGCGTATCCATTTTTAGTTTTTTTGCAGTTTATGTATTTACTAACATTTTTCAGTAGTTGGGATATTAGGTTTATAAACCTATATTGGTTTTTGAAGTTTGTAATGTTTTGAAATTCTATTATCGCTTTTAAAACAGACTGTGCTGATAACACGTGTTCTGGTAGAGGATTTCAGTGGTTCACTGCAATATGCGAGAAACGGATCTCTAGACGTAAATGACTTGATCTCGGTTTTTGAACCTTCCTATAATATCAGCCTGGATGGTCATTCCTAAACTGATGGTAAAGATAAGGCGTAATAATGCCAAGATCGTCTATCGTTATGCGACCTTTTACCATTTCCGTCGTTCTCCACTGAACTAGATTTGCAAAAACGCCTCATATTTAAAGAAGGACTCACTTCATGAATCCAATATTCCAAAAGAAGCCTCATAAAGCCGGGTGTATTACTACAAACATTTTTTCGTCCAAGTGTTGAAATGACTTATGAATACGCCAATAGATCTTGAAACCTTTGATGTCAACTGCGTTGTAAGCACTCTCTGTTTTGAGGTCGTTAATTATTGAGACTCCTAGATCCTTAAAGTCCAATACTTTAGGTAACACAACTTCATATGTTGTGTAGTCATATTGATCGTGGCGTTTATTGATTTTCGTCCTCACATTCTTGTTAGAGTTAACTTCTAATGATCACTTATTCATCCATTCAACCAGTGAAGTTAGGTGATCCAATAATATTGATCTATTTGACCTACTATTTATGGGTCTCCAAATCTTTATGTCATTTGAAAAGAGTGAAACAGGTGAATTGGCTTCAGTAAATTATACGGTTAAATAACGCAAACAAAAGAGGACTAAGGATTGTATCTTGGGCAACTTCACACCGGTAGAGCCCCATTAGCCCGTGCCCGTTTTCTGCTATCGTTCAGAGAGTCACTTGTTCAGTTTATGGTTTCATAACGGAACCTAAGACTTTCCGGCTTTAACTTAAGAATTAGATGAGAAACTTTGTTGAGGGCCTTACTTAAATCTGTTGAAGTTACATCTTCCAGAATATTTCTATCTTTCGCTTCAGCCTAATCATCTCTTGCAATGAGCAAATTTGTCGAGTATGGCATGCCTTTCTAAAACCATTTTGTTTCCTAATATAAAGATGATGGCGTTCCACTATTGAGAGCAAGTAACGATAATTATAACCATTAAAAAACCCATCATCTTACATTGGTTAGTTTCATAGAACCTCCCTCATTACTTAGGGTTTTTTTAGAAAATAACAATTTGATCCCGATTCCGTAGTTGCCCTGGTAGCCCCCGAATGCCCTGGTACGGCCGAGAGTGGGGAGAGTTCACTCTCCCTCTCGAAATGCTCTCACACGGCCTCGCATATATAGCCTCTGCCAGGGAAGTCCTACTCACTGCATTCTCGTGGTGGAGGTGTTGTTTACAAAAATGAGAGGAAGAAAAGCGAATGTCTGGTGCTTTAACCGGATCCCAAACCAATGGTGCACATGGGCTCCAGTATCCTGTGGGAACAAATGGCGTATGAACCAATTGTTGGTCATCGGCTTCCATGAGACTGCATCTCCTTACGATGCTCCACTGCCTTGTGGATCAAAGGCTCGGGGTGTGGCACCCTAAGAAATCCATCTGCTTCGATCTGGGCACCCGGGCAGTATCACAGACCTCACACATATCGAATGAGATTTGTGTGGCGCATATGTATTTGGTGCCTCTTTGTACCAATATCTATGTGTTGAAATAAATAAATAATAAAGTTGTACGGGAAAGAAACATGACTTAACCCTCCATATTTTCTTCTTTAGTTAGCAAAACAATGTTTAGCACTAATTCGTTTATTAACCAGCTAGAAATTCTGCTCATAGTGCTCATTTTTGTGTTTTTAGATGCCGTTTTTGAGTTCATATTTTTTATTTCTCCGTTCTGCAACCTCTTATAAACAGTATCATCACTAAAAGCTTACAAGTTTTTCGATAAGCTGATTGTTTATATTTAACCCTGATTTTACAAAGATTTAAAACTTTAAACGTTATTATCACCGATGGCGAACAATGAAGGCGAAAATGGAGGGTTACAGAAAAGAAGACATCCTCCACAACTGTTTCGACAAATGGAGCAAGATGAAGTCGCTTTCCCGTAGGTACATTTTTGTAATAATAAGATGATAAGATATTTATTTATTCTTTTCACAAAATTTTATACTAAATTTGTGACTACCTAACATGTATTCGTTAAATTTGCAAACTCAACGTAACTCAATGATGTCTATGAAAAAAACATGACTTTTGTAAGGCTTACGTATTTATGAAAAATTGCTTTTTAACCCCTAAATGATTTCACCTGTTCACAAATAAAGTATTCTCACGTCAGGACTGATGAAGTCATTAGATAATTGCTTCGACGAACGAATCTTTAGCTTTGTGTCGTTCGCCAGTGTTTGTTGCACAAAAGCCACGAAGTTAAATTACTATATGTTGCTTATTTCTTGTAGCGTAAAAGGCGCTATTCACATCGTTTTGAAGAATTATGTTCTATTTAAAAAAACGATTACGGTTCTTGTTATTATAAGCTCTATGAATGCGTTTATCAACTGAAAGTCTATGAAGACATGTAAATAAAATCAAAACTGACACTTTATGACTTTTTACGTAATGAAAAGATACTTTTTTAGTATTGAAGTCCACAACATCAGCTGGAAGTTTTTAAATTACTGGAGTCAGACATCTGCTTATTTAAGTTTGATACTTGTACTTGTTCATATATGTTTCAGTTAAATGCCTTACTGCTATTTTTACCGTTGCCAAAATACAGACAGACTTCTTGCACTGAGGGAGAAGAATATAACCTGAAAATGCCTGTATCTGCCAATCACAGTCATCTTTCAACAAAATCAAACAGCCATGCATCAAGCAATGCACAAACAGTTGCCGTATTCAGTGACAAGCCCATTTTTCATTCACCAGTAGCAGCTGTCAAGCAACAACATGGTATTCACCCTCGTTTCCCACCACCTGAAGATAGCCGGGCCAGCAGTAGTACTGGTAGTGCAACAACGGGAGGTACAAGTGTAGATAGTCAAAGCAGTGGTGGTAAGAACAGCAACAGTGGTAGTGATAAAGCTAGGCTGGCTTGTTCCAATGCACTAAATAGAGGGAATAGATGTGGTAGCAGTGCTTCATCATCGACTGAAGAAACCGAAGCACGTGAAAAACGCTTTGGCAGTGTAGACTTACATCCCTTACCTAGCGTCGCATTAACGGCTATAATGAATCAGGCAATGCGTCGTAGTTTCTATGCCGAATCTTCAGTTCAGAATGCTGAACAACTTCAGTATGCCACGTTACTAGCAGCTCATAAAAAATATGGAGACTCTTCAGGTCCAATTGATGTAAAAATTAACACACCATCTGTTCCAACATCCAAAAATGATTTGGCTAATCTTTTTTCACAAACACCAGCACATGCCAATATAAATTCTGTGCCACCTTCTGTTCATAGTACGTCTATTAAGATCGATTTGCCCAAGCTTAATCAAAATTTGCCATTGCATCTTATCTCTCCTAATTTATGGCCACGTAAGTCTGTGAGATTTCGAGACTTTACTACAATATATTTTTAGCTGAATTGATGTTGTTTGTTTTTCACCTTGTAAACTAATGGGCGTAACACATTTCGTTTCAGCGCATTGCTTTTTTAACAAACGTGATCGGTATTTAGGGTAGGGGCAAATGTGTATCAGCCTTTGGTCTCCTGAAAGATATTACTTGGTTTTTTGAATACATTTTTCAAATCACTTTTCGCTAGAAATTTCTATGTTAATTAAGCAAGAAATTCCGAGAAAGTTTCTTTTCGCTATTAAATGATAGAGAATAAACTATTTTTTCAAAACCTTGATCATTAACGAGTGACTTAACTCAAATCGAGCTCCATCATTTTCTTACTGAATGGAATACAGATTATTGTATTGGTAAAATAAGAACGGACGATCATAGCAGTGGTAGTAAATGAATTTAAAGTTAGAACTACGTTACAGTTATTTATCGCCTGTTGTCATTTCAGTCAATATATTCTGATAACAATCAGAACTCATACCCTCACGCATCGTCTTTAATATATTATTACAAAATATCGAAAATGCTTTATCTAATCTCTAAAATTATTTTCCATCAAGGCTAATCAACAGTTTATTCTACTCTATTCTGGAAGTCTCCAACAACTCGCATTATTAACATCCCTTTTGGGTAAAAGCTCTTCATTTTAGGCTATGCAACTTAGAAATATTGCTTTTTTAAACTATAAACTGGGTTCTAAGTTTTAAAACGTTACACAATGAGTTATATTATGGTGTAAATCACGCTTTCTGGTAATTCATATATTTTTTTCTACTTGCTTCGTAATGCTCACTTTAAGTGATCAAAGTGGTAGTTATGTTTTCGCTTTTCTCAGTACATTGCTTTGAAAATCAAGCAATACTGAGATAACGAATGTATAAACAGACACTGAATCTGTTGGAAGCTTGGTTCAAATATAATAACAGTAGAGAACAAAATGGATTGGAGAAATTTTTAAAAAAAATAGACGATCATGAGTTTAAGTCATAATGTGTAAGAATATACGTATATTATATGTGAAAATTATATTTGAAATAATCTCAGCGATTGAAATTTAAATAATTCAAACGTTTCGTCCAGCTAACTTGTCTGGACTTTTTTTAAGTAAGACCCTAAAGAAGTCCAGACAAGTTAGCTGGACGGAACGTTGGAATTATTTAAATTTCAATCGCTGAGATTATTTCAAATATAATTTTCATATATAATGACTTCTATTTACTCGGTGCCCGATTTCTGTCAAACCACTCGTTCTAATCTTGACGAATATTCGTATAAAATATACGTATATGTATGACGAGATACTACAAAATCTTCCATGACCTAAAATTTTTGAACTCACTTATAACTTAGCAACTGCGGCTCAAGCATATGCGTCTGCTCAAGGTTGACAATGTGGTTTACGGATTGACGCTAAAAAGTACGATTTCCTGACTATGATTAAACGTTTAACGTCAAATGAATTATATCTCAATTCCATGTCATTTATTTTTAAAACCTTTATCGCACTCTTTAATAAATTGAACTCTGCCGTCACAAATGACTTCATAGATAGATTATTTAATATCAACAGAATAGTGAACTTTTAGGTTCCTTCAGTTCTTTTTTGATTTCAGGAAACTAAACACTGATTCCATCCCTTTATATAATTTTACAAAACGTAATCAAGTATTTTATTTGGGGCTAGGAAATAGTAAGTGTTAAAACCATACTAGGGGTTTGGGTTTGAGAGTGGGCATTAACAGAGTAATCTAAGTAGATACACTTCCTGAATTCTAAGTAGGACGAAAAAGTCCCCGTAGATTTCACAGGCAGTCACAATTTGGTAATATACTTATATTTATTAACCCTAGAATAAATAAATTTGTGGCTTAGGTGAAAGTTTTTTAGGTGTCGCATGTCTTACGCCAAACGGTTTAATCCCTAAGCTTTAACTGCCATATTGGGCAACATCGCCTGCGCCTACTTCAAATAGGAATGAGCTTCTCAATAATTTTTTCATAAGCTCCTAATCAAGTTATTCTGTTTAAATCCTTTCTTACTGGTTGTCTCTGCACATTTCCTATGTTCATATTCGTTGACTGTTTCTTCTGTTGACGTCTGGCAATGTAGCTGATTGAAAGTTTCTGGGATAACTGACAAACTGGGTTTGTAGTGACAATTGCAGATCAACCTGAAACGATTGGCCTGGAAATTTCACGAGATTTTTAGAACTAAATCATAACTTGAAATTTGTATATCTTTTTAGCGAAGCAGACCAAAAGTGGCCAGTGCAATATAAATGTATTTTTAAGAAAGGAGTTAATACATACAACTGAATTATAAATCTAGTTTGACGCTTAAATGATGTCTTGTTTAATAAATAAATAGCAAGTTAAGCTTCAATTTATTTAAACAGTTTATTTTTTTGTGAACAGGATTGATTTGTCCAATTCATGGTGATAATTTATTGGCTCAATTTTCTCAAGCTTTATGCAAAAGAAAAAATGGTGAGTAGTTCACGGGACGATTGTTTCAACATACACCTTAATAATCTCAACTGTACCCCTTTTATTAAATTAATAAAATTAATTCAAAAAAATAAACAGTAATACAATCGTTTTTTACCGAATCTCTGTCACATAAACACCATAATACAGTATTTATCTGGATGTATTGAATAAACTAGTGTTATGCGTGAATGAAATTGAATCGATCTATATTTTGAAAGAATAAAAAATAATGATTTGGGTAAAGATTGTAATAAAATTACCTGAAAAATCAAAAATCAAACAAGTTATTTTAATTTATATAATGTGATTCCTCTTATCTTTATTCTTGTTACCTTGTCTCTGACTTTTTTATCCTCTTTCTTACAAAATGCATTTAAGGAGTTATCTCCATCAGTTCAGATCCCATCTTCGTTAAAAAAAGATTTTCGGTTTTGTAATGAACATCTTTTAGATGCTCAAACGATTAGAAAAGAGGCATGGAAGTGTTCAATAGTCTGAACGCTCCAATTTTCCACGAGAGCACAACTAAATATGAAGATAACTGACATTTTTATAATAAAATGAATGAAGATCTGAAGGTTTTTACCCCGAAATTTTATTTGTACAAAATTTCTGTTTGTAATATGTTCAACTGCAATTTTCTTTTTAAAAGATATCAGTGAAACAGACAGTGAACAAGAAATGTCGAATTTACCAGTTCTATCTACAAAAAGTGAACAATCATTCACCAATATCACATCATCGACCCTAGAAGAGTCTAAACAAGATTACAATAATAATGACAGTTCAAAACAAGCAACAAATGCAACAACAACTGCGCCGGTGCCCGGAACCAGTGATTATGGGATGCCAACAATGGGGTATTTTAATAACGTATCTGAACCAAATAACAATAATACTGTTCAACCGAATGGTCCTCAACGTATTGGTCCATATTATTTAGGTCCTACACTCGGTCGGGGTAATTTTGCTGTGGTGAAATTGGGAAAACATTCTCAACTATCTGTGAAGGTAATTTTATTTTCGTATACGCTCGTATTTCATCATTCATTTATTGAGTTTTTGTCTTTACTTCATGCCCTACTGTATGTACGCTAAGAGTAAAACCAGGTGATACGGTTTCGAATTGGAGGAATTGTTTTTAATAAAAATGTAGCGAATCACTTACAAAGCAGTGAAAGAGAAAGAGAAGTTTTAATTTTTCTAAAGATCAGAAATGTATTTTTCCTGAATGAGTTCAACGAAGCGACAAATTGAATCCATTTTTTCTTTCGCCTTTTACTTTCCTTAATTTTTATAACTCCTCCTAGGTTGCCATCAAAATTATGAACAAAGATTTGATTGGTTCTAAAAATCTTGGTAAAGTCTCTCGAGAACTTGAAGCGATGAAACGTTGTCAACATCCGCATATCATCCGTCTTTATCATGTTATGGAAACAGAATCAAATATTTTCATGGTTACTGAATACGCTAGTAAAGGAGAGGTATTCGGTGAGTTTAATTCTATCCATCTGTCAACTAATTATTTTTCTTTTTGTTACTGAAGAAGACATTACACAGAAAGTGACTCTACCTTGCTGTTTTTTCTTAGTATCTGACTTTTCTGAGGTGTACACACACAACTTTGCATAAAAATCTTTTAACGAGTGTTGCATATGGTCTTTGATGATTTTTAGTTAAGCTAAAGTCTGAAGATATAGCATATTTTACATCTTAATGGAAAACTATGTTACTTCGAATGCTCATAAATCTTATTTCGACCACCACACTCTTGCCTTATATAATATTTAAATAGAATTAACTAAATGTTGCTTCTCAATAAAACTGATTCGGCTTCTTGAAATTAAAGTTCCTTTATATATTTTTCTCTACAACGTTTTCATAAGCTGTAATATATCTGCTTAACAATAAGTTTAGTTTTTGTCGTTACGTGATCGATATTCACAGTCTAAGCTTGCTTGGTACCGGTTACTGTTGTGCTACAATCATTTGTAAGAAGTCTGTAAACTTTAGTTGTCTTTGATTCAACCAGATGTCAGTATTCTTCAGAGATGGTACTCGTGATGAAAATTAATTTACTGATATGCTTTTTTAAATTGTTTCTTATGATACACATACAGTGGTTTATCAATTAACTGACACTAAGTGGACAATCTGACATTTAAATAATCAGACTTTAAGACTTAATGAAAAGAAGAAAAAGATAGGGAAGTGAGAAAGATGAAGAACAAACGGTCAATGATTAATATGATGCTACCTGCCCAACATATCTTTAAGCACCAACTGTCAGAGGTTTATGGACACTGATACTCAGTGGATAGTATATAATAGACTTCGAAAATAAAATCGTCAAAAAGTTGTTGTGTAATAAGCATTTATACAGTAAGGAGGTTATCATAAATTTTATGAATACATGTATAATTTAAAGATAAATTTTGTCATAAATTAAGGAGAATTGAACGATTGTTCGACATGCAGTGTATTACTTAACAGTGTATTCTCTCGGTACCACAAGGGTCGAGCCTAGAAATTCCAGTTCTAACGACAAGCGTAATAACTTCGAAATACGTAGTTGAAACCATTTGTTAACAACTTTAGCACTATTGGATTTGTGATAATGGGCGATAATTGGCCAATACCACTGGTCAGATAGTGTTTTCTGGTCTTTTATTTAACTAATCACAGCTCACTAACACAGAACTTTGGAAAATTTTGCTCAAATATAATTATTAGTATATAATTATTACTCACTGTGATATTTTATGGGTTGGTTTTTATAGCTTGAATACTACAAACATATATACTAATTACATATTATAGTCATCGTTCGATCCAATTTATTTTGCGTACCATTCTACTAGATCATATCAGTCTATCTCATGCATTTACGGAGAAAGAAGCTAGGGAATTATTTTGGCAAATCGTTTGTGCAATCGAATTCTGTCATGCTTCAGGTATTGTACATCGAGATTTAAAAGCAGAAAATCTTTTATTAGACGCTGATTTTAAAATTAAAGTTGCTGGTAAGCTACATTTACACATATAATTCATAAATTCCAAAGGTAATTGATAATTTGTTCAATTTGAAATTAAGTTTATATCTTGAACCAATACCATTTAGAAAACCATTGTAATATAAAAAATGACTGGTCAGTAGTTACATGCTTATTTAGAACTTTTTAGCAGCTTACACCGATAGTTTTCAACTTTAGTCATTTATTGTGATTATTATTTTGTGACATCAACGGAAATCCTCTTCACATCCTACATAGCTGTATTTACAGGCTGTTTCGACTTTATTACTATATAGAATCATGTTTATGAGAAGTGTACCTATTGCACAAAATATGAAATTGGTCATCTTGTGTAATGGTTTTGGTAGATTGGTGCTGAATTAGTTTAAATTTTATAGTTAGTAGTTCAAATTATTATTTTGCTATATTTACATAGAAGTAAGAGCTTGTCTATAAAACTGATCAAAATTAGATCAGACTTGTAGTATCAATAGCCCATTCTTAAACAATAAAGCTTAAATCCGTGTATAGGAAACACACAATTGGAAAATGGATTGACTGATTCTAAGAATTATTTGCTACACTAAAATTCATCATCATCAATAGAACTATTATTGTTATTATTATAAATTTTATCAAGATTCTTACTGAAAGCCTCTTTAGTCTACTTAACGCTAGTTGTTGTTATGAGAGTTCTTTCTATCTCAAGTTATTTTATAATCATAAAATATAGTCGCTGAAACATTGATCCAAAAGCCTAAAAACTTTGATCAGCTTATAAGCATATATAAATTGTACACCACCCAACAGAGTGGATCCCTTCTGTTAAACAAATCAAAATTATTTATTGCATTACTAGCTAATTTTTATAAAGTGTTAAATTTCCGGTCAAATATATAGAAAATTACATCTCTCTGTTCATGATTTCAATGGAATTCAATAATTTTCACAACCCTATACTGATAATTATCATGTGCTCACTAGTGACTATCGTCGAGAGATAATTCATGGAGCTCTTATGAGAATCCATGAACAATGGAGTTCAAATGCGTTGGGTTTGAGGCAGTTACCCACTTAAGAAAATGGAACATGATTGAGCAATACCGTAGATCGATTGAAGACAGACATTAACACCGTTGGATTCCGGCTCAGTGATCTAGGGGTTAAGCGTTCGCGTACGAGACCGGAAGTTCCCTGTTTGATTGCAGTGTGCGGGATCGTGGATGTACACTAATAAGGAGCCCATTCTGAGCCGAAACGCCTGCCCATTGTTTCCAGATTTTTAATGGTTTTCTAACATTGATCGGATCATGGTTTCGACGAAATTCAACAACCTCCACAACCCTAAACTGATAATTATTTAATAAATTTTTTCGAAGTACTTTTATTACATTTATTTTTTTGTGTTTTGTAAATTTCAAGTGATACAAATATTTTCTCAAAGATGTAATGAAACTGTAGATTTTAGAAGGTTTTATCTTCACATATCGATTCATATCCATTATCACATCATACAAGAGATTTAATTGAAGTTCATCTACCTTTCATACATGAGTCTCTTGTTCTAGAGAAAATTAGTGTGTTAAAAAATCGCATAAATAGTTATAACTTATTCCAAGTTTTAAATAAATCCTCTCAGTACATTTCAAAGAATCATCCAGATGATCCGAGTTTCTTCTCAAAATAGGAACCATTAAGCTGAATATCCTATATTTTTTGTTCGAACAAAATAACTTATCAGTATATTTTTACGAAACCCTTTTCACTTCATTGATAGATTTTGGATTTTGCAATTTTTTTCAAAATGATCAATTATTATCTACACATTGTGGAAGTCCTCAATATGCCGCACCGGAATTATTTAAAGGTGAACCATACGATGGAACATTGGCCGATGTATGGGTACGTTGCAAATCTCATAATACATAGAATATTTGTCGTATATAGTTTATTAAAGATTATCGATTGGATATTCATAAAGATGTAATAAATTATTTCATCGATCATCATTTCCATCACCTGAGGTGGTTTCAATGGGTTAGCTTGGCACCTAATCTAACTGGCATATGTGCAGGTTGAAAAGCATCGAAACCTGTTCGCACAAGGACAAAACATAAACTCTATCAGTAATTAACTGCTTGTATTACCAAATGTCTTTTTGAAATCTGCACAATGGTTGTAAGCTAAGATTGAAGACTCCAAGTGATATGACCTGAAGTTGACGTAATTTCATTTATTCTTTATCTTCCTCTAAATCTTGTGTTCAGTATCATTCTTTTGATTGTGATTTTCCATATCATTTCCTCATTTTAAATTACATTTCGTATACTAGATATTCTATTAAATTCAACATTAATTTCTCTTCTCTTCTGCTCATTTCACTGATTTACTTTCACATTAACGGGAATCGATGACTATCATTGACTGTATGAAATAAATCCTTTGGAAAACATTTATTTTAGTGGGAAATAGTTATTTCCCAGTATCATAATGAAAACCTTTTAAACGCTCTTGTCTATCCATAATTTCACTCAGACAAGTGTTTAAATAAGTAAAATGAACTCTATCAACGTCTATTATTTGCACTATTTCAATACGTAATTGAAATAACAGAGGGAAAACAATTTGAATTGAAATAATGAAATTGATTCAATGAATGCAGGCCAATAATATAAATGACAAATGGAGAGGTTGATAATTGAGTAACCAATTTCTTCTTTTTAAAAAAACCTACCTTGAAGAAGTGATGACCTCCTTGTTACAGTGTTATATTTTTCTAGTTTTGATTTCTCTTGCTCTTAATCACTGATATCTTTTTATTTAAAAATCATGGACAGAAAATTAACTTGTAATTCCTTTTTTACTGTATCTAATTTTCAAATTGATTGTGCAGTAAAGTTTTATTTATTAATATTGAACGATTAGAATGTACATTTGTACAAAGAATTATGTGAAGTGTTGGAAATTCGCAAAACACGAACAACTGCCTACCATCCAGAAAGCGATGGATTCGTTGAGAGAACCATTTGGACTTTCAAAACGCTACAAAAATTATTTTTTTTAATCTGGAGGAAGTTAGATCGTGAGATCTAGCTGTAAGCAAATGTTTACTTGCATATTATGGTAGCGTTCACACGTCAACTACATATTTACAAAGATTTCGACTTTATAAATTTGATTCAATAAATTAAAAAAATGTCTATTCAGTGCTGATTGTTTCGTCTGTTTAATATAACTTCATTTGAATTTTTGTGAATACAATTTATTTGAAATGTCTTTGCTGAAAATTGTTTAGTAATTCTTGACAATTATAATCTATGTATAGAAAACTCTTCTGATGAAAAATTGATTATGAAAAATAATGTCGTTTACACAAATTTTCTTTTATATTTTAGAGCTTAGGTGTTATTTTATATATTCTTGTTTGTGGTTCATTTCCATTTCCTGGTGAATCTCTTGGTGATATTCGTACACAAGTACTTCGTGGTCTTGTACGTTTTCCATTTTATTTATCGACTTCTTGTGAACAAGTTATACGATGTATGTTACAGGTGGATCCTAATCGACGATTCAAATTAAAACAGGTAAGTATTAATATAACTTTAATTCGAGTTTTTATCACTGAACTAACATTATCAATCTAAGTCAAATGGAACTGTTCTCTCTAATGAACAGAAATATAGGTTGAGTTGTTTTCTGTTTTTCTCCTCTCCCGATCAGTACTCATAACAAGAAAATGAGCCACTGTAAGAGTAAATTGATCTATGAAAGACTAGTTTCTATGCAATGATAGCTAAAAAATCTTATTTGATATTAAACAAATCATAATAAATGAATAATAAATGTATAGGTAATGTCTGTAGTTAAAGTATTAAAAAGTTCTGAAATTAAACTCCCTATTTACTTAAATTTAAAATACTATATTTAATGGTGTGTGTATTATAATGTCTCATACAAAGTTTAGTGAACAGCAACAAATAAATTGTGAAAATAACAAATCTTAGATTCTAACCTAGAAAAAACAACATTTATATAGATAATATGTAAGTGAGGTCACTAAAAACCACCAAGATTTATGTTCCATGAAAGTTACTACTCACATTAATATTTCTGATAGGAACACCTGGTAACATGAGTTTAAATATCATGGGGAAAATCAGTCACGACAGAATTCTAGATACTCCACGCCATCCCTGAACTTCTGAACTGCTGTTGCTCTGACTGATTAGATTTCTACTCCTAATTGTGTTATCAAAAAGTAGTCTACAGTTTCGAACAATTTGATATTCTATTTTGAAATATAATTTCAAAGTTATCGACAGACTATTACTGTGACTGTTACCACTGTTATTTTTATTATCAACACCTACTTTCATGTAACGACCAGCAGAACAAAATAGATGCTAGCTCTTTTCAGTTATTTTGTGACTCATAATAAAAACCTTTTGTTAACCAACCTAATGTTTATGATGATTACTTTGGCAAAGTGTATACTGCAAACTTTATTTAATATCACCGTATTTAACCCATTTTAAATTATTTATGTATGAATGATATTCTGTTATTATTAATTCGCGTCGCAGGTTACGACCACAGCATGGATGCAAGAGTCTCCAAATGTGGAACATTATCAATCACTTATGGACAAATATCAAAAACAAGCAAAAGAACGTCAATTCGAAGTTTTATTTCGTCATCAACATCCGGAACACAGTAAAATAGCTAAAGAAGAATTTCTAGAAAGAATTGAACGTAAACTTGATATTGGTATTGTGAAAGCATTGTCTAGAGAAGCATGTTTAGATGAAGAACAAGTATGTCATTAAGTGACCACATTTTTCTTAGTCAATATTACTCAACATTAATTTTTAATCCAGAAAGACTAAACAGTTCTACTAAGGTGTATATAAAAACCAGATAAATATCATAGCTTTGCAAATGTAAAACATTAGTAGTTCATGAAGTCATTAGTAGCATATTAACCTTTCAATACTCCTGCTTCATACCTATTTGATGTTCAGAGTTAATCGCGAGGAAACCCTGTGTTAGTTTTAAAGAGTTATTCAGTTAATCTTAACTGTAAAATGTGTAGATATTGCAAATAGAAATAGTAATCATTTCTTTAATCATTGCATCATAAATCATTTAGTGTGACCAGCCAACTTCAATCGAACTTGAATTTGTTTGTTTCCTAAATTAAATGATCTATTATCTACCATGAATATCTTGAGAAATGAATAATTTCCAATTTTTTATATTTTATTTAGAATTTTGTATTACTTGGATATTTGACAAATCAATGAATAGTCTTTTGTAAAACAAATTCTCATAAGGTTCTGAGTCTAAGTTAGTAATCAAAATGAAAATGGGTTTTGAACTTAAACAAATAAACTTCATAGTTTAGAGCACGGACTGACTGTACATAAATAGTCATTGAAAAAACTGGAGGCACTGGACAGCTATTAAACCATAGTATTGAACTTCTCTACAGTACGCATCCACAGCAGAATCTTGAAATCGTTAAGTTTGCATTCAATGCATTACATTCCTAACTTCAATTAATTCACCAGCCGTAGATTGAAAATGCTAAGAAGTACCATAGTTGGACAGAATAGCTCTCCAATACTTCCTTGGATCTGACCGTTGTCTGACTACATTCAATACGTGATGTAAACTATAAAATTTGGTAATCTTCACTAAACCTCCTTGATTAAAATAAATTTCTTAGCACTGTTGAAAATGTTAGCGCGATGAGTTATCTGTGTATACATGAATCAAGTTGTAGTTCAGGTGGGACTATGAGGTCGATGATCGGCGTAAAAAAGGTAACGTAGAATGAGTAAAATAAAGCCATTTGCGATCATATCATATGTTCAACCGAAGATTATCTAGTCTGTGAAATAAGTGATAATTAAGTGTGGTGAGTGCTGAATATATTGTTGAATATGATAGAAAGGATAGTTTGGAAATAACGAAAGAATACAGTGAAAATAATAATAGCTGAATCAGACGAGTCTCAAATTTACAATAACACAGAAAGATATCTATGTATTAGTCGTATTAGGCTACATAAAAATTTAGATAAATCTTAGCTTACTAGGCCTGTGGCTGACCAAAGTAAACATTATTCCTTTGAAAGGAAAGTAACAAAGTTTAAGTTGTTATAAATTTTACCCTTAATGTATGAAAGATTCTTCATCTGATTAGTCTGGCAGGCTAATGTCAACATAGCAGATTGATGATCACCACTGAATAACTATAAATGCATGTCCTCCTTGATCTAGATAGAGTAAGATAATGCTGTTTACTGCATTAACTACACATTTACATGTTCATTCTGTAGCATATTCGTCAATGAGTCTCGTAACCATAAATAAACTAGCCCGATGATAGTCGGTTGTAGCCTCATTTTCAACTTTTACGTACATTTTTTAGATTCGTCAGTCTACAATTCAAAAGAAATACGATCGTTATCATGCAGCCTATGAATTATTAAAAGAAAAAATTAAAATATTTTATCATAATCCTATTCTACGAAATTTCGTTAATGATGAAGCCAAAAAACAAGCAAGCATATTTTCCAAACTAGCTACAACTCAAAAACCTGCATGGCAGCAAACCTCTGATATTCTAGGTGGATGCAATTTATCTGAAGAACAAGTCAATATGAATGTTTTAAGCATAACCACATCAACAACACAACCATCTGCAATGCTTAGTGTATTGGATGAAACAATGTTAGAAGAACAAAGTCCTCCGAGCGATATTATCATGTCCAGTGATTCCAGTGATCTATCAGATGTAATGATGAAGGATACTTCTTTGTCTTGTAATAGTGTTCACACAACTGCTTCTACAACAATGTGTACTGCTTTTATCACGTCGTCTAATCTTGAAAAATCTGAAAACTCTTGTACTTATAATAAACAGAATACAACTGCTACAACTAACAAGAAAGGTTTCAGTGAAAGTATTTTAAGAGAGTGGAAATGTGCTACACAGGTATGTATAATGCAAGAGATTGTTTAGCATAGACATTATATCACAAGCAAATATTGTATGGAGTGAGTTGTTCCATTATCTGAAAAAATATGATAGATAGAGGTCCAAATTCATAAAACTATTCATCCTTATTATAGATTGATTAAATCTATACAATATGATACCAGATTGTTTTTTTTAGGGGGGGGTGTTAAGATTAATCAATAATAAATGTTTTGTAAACCGATGTAATTTAATTTGCTTTTTATGGAACTGGTGTTACTGTTTACTACTCAGTGATCATTTTATGTAAATATCTTAATGCTTCAACAGATCATGCTTGTCCCAAATAACTCATTGGTAACACTTTCGATTGTATTATTAGAGAATGCAACATTTAATCTTATGGAAAGCATCAATTCCCTGAGGAATAAATTATTTAGATTGACAATATTATAATCCTACCGAATTTTATTAATTAGATTATAAAAGCTTTGACTGGTTCCTTGTTCATGAACAATTAAAGTGTATATAAACTTGTGTAAAAATTTGAAATATTGTGACATATATAGAAACTTTACATAGTTTGTAATTTTATTTAAATTCTAGCATATTTTTTGATTGTGTATAGTGCTACTATGGAGAATCCACTTTTCGTCCGTCTTACAATTTGTCATCTGATTTTTATTGTATCCCAGTACTCAGCTTTACAGTGACACTTTTACACGTTACTATTCGCTTCATGCGATATCATATCTGGATAGGCACCAACTTATTCAACATTGAATAAATATATTTATAAGATCCTATATTATCCTGTAGTTTATATTCAGGATTCATTTCACCTATACATAACTATTTTTTGAACACAAACATTGGTACAGAGAAGCATCAAAATATATATACGCCACACAATAAAAATGAGGTTGTGAAGTGATAGAGGAAGGTGAGTGTAAAAGATTGAGTGAAACTAATAAAAATGGTAGTAATATTAATAATGGGGTAATCAGTTCAGTTAAGGAAGATACAAGCAAAAAGGATTCTTTCAGTTCAAGATGTTCTTTTCACTCATAAAACGAAAACTAAAAAGAACTATCGCAGAATTGCCACTGGCTTCTATTCTGAGCCATGTTTGATAACATCCCAAGTCACTGTGTTGCACCATCTTTGGGAGCGCAACTAGGAAGTCGTAGGGGACCAACAGATACCAATCCTGTATGTTTCTATTCATTCGCTAGGATGGCATCCTTAGTACATGTTCAAGGCGCCGAAAATAATAATAATTTAAGTTGTACAACTCTAACTAAGACAATAATATCAGTCTTATATAGTAGTCTCCATATTGTCCACAAAAAAGAAAACTTCACTTTGAATCAATTATCTAGTTAAACTTTATCGACTTTAATTGAAGAAAATATAAATGTTTACCAAATACTCTTGTTCATTTCTTTCTTGTTGTTTTTTTAGCCAAAAAATACTGAATTGAATGCTGCCATATGTATATTAAAAGTAAATTCATTTCATCTGTGTTATGTTTCAATAAATGTTCTCCTAACATTCAACAAATAATATTAACATTTGTGTTTATTTTAATAATTTAATTCAAGTGTTATTATTGATAAATGGATAATATGTGCACTGCTGAAGAGTCCCATACCAGGACGAAACGGCCGTCCAGTGCTTCCAGGTTTTCCAAGTTGATCTTGCTTCAATTGACTCATGATTTTAACCAGTGGAATATCAACAAACATTATTATTATTATCATTTCATTGAAATCATGAACCGATTATTGTCGGACCATCATTGCAAATCTGGAAGAATTGAATTGTGTTTCAATGGTAGTTGAACATTGATCAGTTCACAATTTCAATGAAATTTAACATATATCTGCAACCACATACTAGAAATTATTATTATTATTATTATGAAACCATCGTCATATCTTTATTCAGAGAATTATTTATCTTCTCTACTAATATTAATTTCAACACAATGATTCTATTTCAGGTGAAGTCAGTTTTCTGCTATCTAGAAAAAAAAATCGCTGTTCCAACTAATACAATTTACATCAATCGAACTATATTGTTTGCATCTAAATAAATCAAGAACAAATATTGATGCAGAATAGTATGAATTCTACATTAAGATAAGAAATAGTATGAAACAAGTGACATAAATGAATGTAAATAACTGGAGTGACAAAGGTTTACAATGATAACAATATATATATATATATATATATATATATATATATATATATATATATATATATATATATATATATATGTAAGAACAGGTCAGGTGTTATTAGGTGTTATAATCAAGGAAACATTAAGAACGGATGTTGTAATAGTTGTTTGCAATTATTGCAACATAAATATCTTACTTATGAATCTTTGGTATAAAAAACCTTACTTACTTACTTACGCCTGTTACTCCTAATGGAGCATAGGCCGCCGACCAGCATTCTCCAACCCACTCTGTCCTGTGCCTTCTTTCCTAATTCCATCCAATTCTTGTTCATTTTTCTCATGTCTATTTCCATTTCCCGGCGTAATGTGTTCTTTTGTCTTCCTCTCCTCCTTTGGCTTTGAGGATTCCATGTGATGGCTTGTCTTGTGACGCAGTTGGGTGCTTTCCTCAATGTGTGTCCTATCCACTTCCAGCACTTCTTGATTTCTTCCTCCGCTGGGATCTGGTTTGTTCTCTCCCACAGTACATTGTTGCTGATAGTGTCCGACCAACTGATCTGAAGTAGTTTGCGTAGACAACTGTTAATAAACACCTGTATCTCCTGGATGATGGCTTTCGTAGTTCTCCAGGTTTCCGCCCCATAAAAAACCTTAACAATAAGTTTTATCAAAGAGATTATTATTAAATATTCTACTGTTTGATTTACAATAAAATATAAATTATGATTAGTTTAGAAAGTTTACACGTATCTCTGTCTTGTTCAGAAACATTTTCGTTGAGGTTCCTAGTACACTTTAAAGCTATCAATAAGAAAAAGACTCAAAGGATAACCGTATGTTGCATATCTAATATAAAGAAGAATTTCACAAAATTTATATTCTTAGGTTCAGTTATTTGTTAATTGAAGAGTCTTATTTAAATTGAGTAATTAACTGTTTTCATAAAGATATAAACAATAATTTAAAAGTCAGTTTTGGACAACTTTTTTATTCTCGGTGAAATCAATAAGAAGCACACATAAAATTTCTGATCATTAACACATACTCCACTAAATGATTGACCGTCAGTGTTTTTGCGTTTTTTTAAAGGCTGATGAAGATGAAATTCTGTCAAATTTTGGTATTGATTCAGGGCCAATAAATAAATCATTTTCTAATTCAGTACGACGTCATACATTACAATTTACTACATCATTACTTCTTAAACCATCTAACCAACGTGATAATCCTGATAACATTTTAACAAATAATGATGATGTTAACAATCATCAGTCGGATACATCTTCTGCCACCATCAATAGTATGTCCATAAAAAATTCCAATGCAAAAGCTAAACGATCTCACGAATTAACTGATTTAAATAACAACAGCAAAAGTTCTTCATCTGATGACAATAATAGCAGTAATAGTAAAACTAATGGTAATAGTGTTAAACGAACTACAGTACGTCGGTTTCCGCGTCAAATTACTCAACCACATTCATATCGATTACAATATAATCAAACTAGTCCGGATAATTCAGAGCAAATGTTACTTGTAAGTTACATGAATATTGACTGGCTCTATATAAAGCATCTTTCGGTAACTTTTTTAACTTACTGCAGTGAATTTAAATAAAACACTTCAATTCATTATGATTTTCTTTTACTCTAACTGGTTATGATCTGATCAATCATCGTTTAAATGTTTAATTAGTGACTATATGGAAACAAATGGTTACTAAACAATAGCAAAGAACAATAAATATTAGCATTTTTCTTGCATGTAACCATGCAACTTCTCATATTTTTGGTCGTTTACAGGATTTAGGCTGGTAAAATTCAAGCGTCCATTCTTAGAAGCTGCTTATTTTATCACTAATGATGAAACTCAGGAATTAAAATCTTCGAAATTTTATGTATTTGCATCATTTTACTATTGTAATGTAAAATTATCAGAGAGTTCCATCGACAATTTGAATTGCCATAATTCTATATAGAAAAACAATGATTTATTCGTATATCGTAGTAGTAAATGTTAATAAAATTACAAGTTTCTATCACTTGTTGTTTCTGCCAACAAATGTATAATCTCATCATTTCATTAAAACAGCAGTGATGAAACCGGTTAATTGTTCAGGTTAGATGTTACAACAAGACTAAACAACCATAAATATATAGTTTTTTTCTAAATGAACCTATGGCTGTTTGAATGTTGGTTTATGAAAAAAAAATCCAAATGAATAATCTGTGTCAAGTTTGAAGAGATCGAGATATTATATAATTTACCCTGTTGTGTATATTATACCTTAGTCCAGTTGGACTCCAAATGCACGAGTTTCCGACTAGCTTCGATATCTTCGAATAAACCTATTGTTAAATTGACCACTGCCGACCACAGGATATCAGTGATCCAGATGCAAAGTTTTATGAGATAACTCACTAACAATCAAGTTAAATTTGAAACTAACAGAAAGATGTGAAACATATATCCTATTCAAATGATAAACATATAATGCATTAAACAAGATTTCGGTTAAATGTCCGAGTGTACACATAATAAGACTACAATACAGAGAAAAGTTGAAAAATGGTTTATATAGCTTGATTACTGTTTGCAGTTCAATAGAATGTTTAAAATTTAAAAAATGAGGCCACTATAACATCACTGTTTGACTTTAGCTGAGACAACCATCGAAAACAATGAAGCACTGGAGAGTTGTTTTATTCTTTTTATTTTCGAATAGCTGTTTTGCTAAAGTTAATGGAAAAATAACCAGTATAAGGCGAATAGTGAGTCGCAATGAACTTCGATTGTATCTGTTTTCAATTTTAATTTTTGTCCATATTATTGTCGACCAAACTCCTTATACATGTCTCTTTACATTAAAGGTTCAAAACGCTGATTTATCTCATCCTTGAAGCTACTTTAGAAATCTAGATGTATCAAATAATTGGTTACATATATAAATACCTCATAATTTTAAAACCAAACCAAGTTGCCTGTCTTCTGTTTCAGAAAATATTGTAGGTAGATAGAACACATACATTACATTTATGAGACATAATAATCCATACTAGTTCCTAACCTCATAGTTTGACTGACCCAAGTTACATAATCCTCTAGACATTGTGTCAAAGTCATGAATACAATCTCTCCGCTAAGAACTGACTATGTAGTTAACGAAGACTCAAGTACGGTAAATTAGTTTATTCGTTTATACAAAATTACATAGTGCCTCTGGAAAATATGAAAATCATACATTAAGGACATCATTTACACATTATTCAGTTGCCATTTACATACTCCATCATTCTTTTAATTCTGATGTCATTCTGGTTGCTCCCCGTTTTCCTTCTCATTCTTTCGATTTCAATCTCCTGCTGCATTCTACTTCTTATCCCCTCTACAAAACACTTATATCTTTTTACATGAGAAGCTCACACCACAACTAGATAACCATACTTTTACATAATCAGTGATTAGAAAAACCTACTGTTTTCTATCTCTTCAAATTTCATGGATTACATCTTGGTTCTTTATCACAACATAAATTCCAGTTATAATAGCCCCGTGAGTACCGACAAGTACATGAATTTAAGATTAAAATAGTACATTGGATATTTAAATGTAAAGTGGATCTAATCTAAGCTCTATTAAACTATATGTATAAGGTTGATTGTTTATTGAGGTTCTTCATAATCAGCTACGATACTCCAGTTGATCCTTCTTTTGTCTGTTTGTTTCAATGATTATTCGTTGAAAACCAGTTCATAAACTCACTGAAACAACAATAACTAACAATCGAGACTCGTTCTTAATAACAAATCTCTGTTAAAACTGTTAACACTTCCTCTGGTTTGTTATATTTTCTGATGTGTACACCTAAGCAATTGATTTTTACCAGTAAAATAATTTTTCTGAATATTGAAATTACTATAAATTTTTCTACTAGAACCGTTTAGATTGGTTACCGAATACTTGGGAGACAACCCAGACGCGCTATCGAAAATCTCATTTACTGCAATCATCAAGACCTTATTTAAATAAAATTAGTAAACAAAATGAACAAACATTAACATCACTTGAATTAGGACAAGAAGCAGCTACCACAAAGTTACCACCAATGAAAAGGGATACAGTTACCATAGGGACAACAACAGGTGATGATGAAGAAGAGGCAGAGCAAGACGATGTTTCAATTCTAATTGATCAGGAAAACATCTTGCCAGAAGAAATATCACAGTCTATCCAATTTACAGAAAATATCTCATCAGTTGGTGATCATGATGTGACAGTAATGAATAAACCAAATATAGTATCTGAAAAGGCAGAATGTCCCGATCCAGGTGAAAATTGATTGTTTATGGTTTTGTGCTTACTTTCGGTATTTATTAACAAATATTGTTCAGAATCGGCTCTGGTTTGGGTCTACAATGCCATTTTATGTTGCATAATCCAGAAATTTCGAAACCTATTAATAGAATATATGTTGACTTGCTGACTATAATAGACAGAAAGTAATGTTTCGGATTAATAGGAATTAAGATTTCTGGTCATCCTATGATGTCAGCAGTGTTATTTGGTAATTAAAATGTAATTAACTTTTCCATTAAATTGGAAGGTGTAATTAGTGAACTTGATAACCTTGTGGTCCTGTTGGGTGGACATATTTTAAAGGATGAAGTTCATAACACTTGAGGACTGTTATTCATGAAGTAAAAAGATCAACTACAACAACAGACAACATGAGGAGCCTTGGTTCAACTAGGACTACAAATATACTTTACAAACGAATAACAACTATCACGAAATCCAGATCGAGCGATTCTTCACAATTGATTCCAAACATCAAAACTTATTCTTTTGAACTTGGTTGATTTAATTCAATCGACACTAAGGATTAGAGGCGACATCCGTTAATAGTTGATGATCAGTTTAGCTAATATTTGTCGGATAGTCCAATAAATTGTTATATTATTCCCCGTCAAGTAATTTTAGAGAAAATAATTTCATTTATTTGAATACAGTGAAGGCCGATGAACAGCTAATTACTACTTTTTTTAACGATTATCGCTAATTGATTTAAAAACATTTGTAAATCCGGTCTCACATAAAAATGTGGTGTGATTATGCGGTACAATCTATTGACCAATCACTTGATTAGTCTTCAGTAAGGTAAGGCGTGCTTTGATCAACTCGTGTAATGAACGCACCGCATTGAGATTTAAGTGGTACTTAAATTTTTAGTTATTACACTTTTTGTGATATCTCAATGAGTAGAAATTTGTTTTTTCTGACGTTGCGTGACTTAATGTAAGCCAATTCTTCAGTTTAAAGTAATAAATAACCGAAATAATATTAACATAAGCTTAAATACTTCAAAGGAAACAAAGCAGAATATTTTTAGTACAACCGAAGTCATAATGAGTTTGAACATGTCGATGTCATGTTATTTTTCGTCAAAGTGATTTTACGTGAGACATAACTCTGTTTATTTGTGCAGATTATGGTAGAAATAAAAAACATACAGTTTGAGTATGTGTGTGTAGATTGTGCGTAAGACGAATGGAGTCACATGTGGTTGCTTGAAGAAACGTTCCAGGTTGGAAGAATAGTTAGTGCTTTTTGTATTGAAGGTAGGGGAATTCAGCATTATATGAGACGCTTTGGCTGATCGCTTCTCTTTATAGTTGGAAAGGCGTTTCTGGATTATTTTGATATTTTTGATATTAATTTGGTGGCTATTGAAAATAGCATCTACTGTTATTGCAGATTTACTTTGTAGATTTTCCGGCTCTACAGAATCATCAGGTAATTATCTCGTTAGCTCTTCTGAAAAGAGTCAGGACAATTTTTGCAGTTTCCATAGTTAAAATTACTGTACCGATTTGAATGTGTCCGTTTTCAGTATATGGTTTGACTAAGATTTCCATTAGAATTTATTTTAACAAAATAGTCTAAGATGTTGTTCATCTTCCTTTTTGCAAGTGAATTCGATGTTATTTGAGAAACTGTAAATCACCCTAACGAAATTTCTAAGCTGATTTTTTTAATGGTAACAAATCTGTCATCTGCATATCTGAATCAGATGCGTGGTCTGATGGTACTAGCAAAAATATAGAACATAAATAAATTAGCAACACCTAGCGAAACTTGATATTCCATGGCTACTCCATTCGTTTGTTTATACAAAGTCCCTTTAAAGGTGAACAGCGTTGATTTCGTGACTGAAGTAATGCTTAATTGATATCTACTATACAGAGTATTATCATCCTACATAAAGGCATGAATAAGGCCTAGACATCTGTCATTTGGAAAATTAATGTATAAAGATGCCACATCAAAGCTTACCATTGTTTCATTCCCATTGATAAATAATTCCAAGATCTTTGACTTAAATTCATATGAATTTTGTACAACATCATTTAGGTTATGTTGAAGTGGCTTTAATATACTGCCTAGATATTTAGATAAAGCATATTTTGGGGTATTCATGTTAACTATATATGAATCAAAGTTCTGACTCATAGCTTGGTTTTAAGTTTGGATAAAATAACTATCTTAAGTTTTCTGATTCTTTGTATGTTTCTTGGTCGTTTTAGTACACATTTGAAAGAAAAATAACTCGATCCAATTTCAGATTATTTTATAAATAATACGTTAATATTTCTATTTGTTTTCATAATTAATTTTCGTTCCAATTTCCAGTTGAATACCCATATAAGTCTACATCGAAAAGTCAACTGATTCCTTCACAATATACTAATCCACAAACACCATCATGTGATCCTTTGCTGTTAGATCATCTTCCAGAACAAATTTCAATAGATATGAACACAGAGACTAGTGAAAAAGTGAATGTAAGTGTTCTTAGTACCTTTTACATTCACAATTCCAACAAAAATACATATTTATCAGTTGTGTATGTAAAATGAAAAATATTATAGTACAAAATTCCTCTAAAATATTTATTTGTGAACTTACAAAAACTTGGCAAAGCTCACTATCTGATAGGATTTGGCAATATAAATTGACAAAACATTAATAATCACTGACAAAGCGAACGCCTTGCAGTTGTTTAATCTTATGTTAAGGCTACTCAATATGCTTTATCCATAAACGATAAGTTTAAAATAAACTTGAAATAAAAAATTAACCAACCTGTCAAAATAATCATAAACGAGAAAGATGTTCTTTTCTAAAATCCGGAGTCATTCGTACGATGTTTCAACTGTCATAAGTACAAGCCTTAGGTTTAGAATTTTCTATCGATTCCCAAAACCCACCTAGAATAAAATGGATACTGAAGAATAGTTTTGATAGAAGCTATTTTACTCAAATCATAAAGCAATACTGTATTATCTGCTTATGAAAGATACCTTAAAGCTTTAATTTTTCCTTTCCGGTGTTCACTTTATACAGTATTTCTAATTTTTTGCCGAATTCATCCATTTAGAATATTTTTTTCTTAAATTTCTTAGAATACGGCACATGTCCTAATTGAAAAACCAACCTTACTAGAAGATCCTTGCTGGTCCACTGTTCGTATTTCAGGTGGAGTGGATGAAGATGATGATAATTCATGTGATCCAACAGCTGGAGTACTGCGTACACTACTTCCACAGCTTAACTTACCGGCGAACTTACCAGCTATGATTCATCAACCTGTGGCTTGTTTTACTGTTAAAGATCCAAATTTACTTGCTCCACCAGAGTTTATGACTCCACGTATGTTTTATTTGATCGAACCTACGATTGTGTATTTTATCATGCACCAATATGAGATTGAATTCAATATCCACAAGTGCCATTGTCCTATTTGTTAATCGTTAAACCGTCGAACTGTTTGATGAGATTGCTAACCTAACCTTGAAGACAGTATTCATGATGGCTTGATATCAGCTAGAGAACCACTGACAAACATGTAACACATGACAGCTGTTTTTATTGTTTAAATGTAAGCATTCATAATGACATACATAATCAGTCAAAAATAACACCTTCCGATTTTGTGGTACCATCGATACTTTAAGAAAATATGATCACCTACAATTAATTAACGATACAGTACAACGGTCCTTCAACGTTGTTGACGTCGACTGTCCCACTCCCCATATATCTGAACACCATAAATTACCTTTTCAAGCTAGAACTTTAGGAGTTTATCTTGTTAATTGGTCATAGAAACTAAGGTGATGGTTGGAGGTAATCGACCGTAAACCTACAACCTAAGTAAAATATTGTTTGGCTTTTTTCAGCAAGATCTACTTGTAATTTCAAAGAAACTGATAATTCATAGCCCATTCGACTTAGTGTCACCCAGCTTCGTAGTTAGAAACCCTGCCAATTAGGGGAGACTGACCTCCTGTAGAAAAGATGTAAATTTCAGTTTACTTATCACCGAGTAATGACCGATTTCATGTATGTCAATTCCCTCGTATTTCTGATCAAACTTCATAGATCAAGTTGCAATTTTACCACTAGTCTTAGTGACTTGATATCACATACTCTGTTTACAGATATAAAGTGGGCATTGATAGAATTTGATCAGCGCTAAGAATGACTTCACATACATAAAGCTAATCACTAGTCAGTGGTCAATCAGTTCTAGATACCAGAACTTGATGGTCAGAAACTATTTTCAGACTGAATTAGGCTTCACATTGGGTAGAGAAGTATTCGTCTTCCTCAGTTTGATAACTTTAAATAGCTCCATGAAAATTACTACACATTATTCTCTCTGTCAATGACTTTTGAATCTAAGTTATTAACGATACGGAATAATATCAATTAGACTACCAGTGAAAGCCGAAAAGCTTTGGACATTCGTTTTCTTCTAGTTTGGGATTCCTCAGTAGTGCACATCCATGACCTCGAACTCGAGACCTTCAGTATTTGGGCAAGCGCTTAACCTCTAAACCACCGAGTCGTCATCCAGTTATAAACAAGTCTATTTTCAGTAACTCCGCGTTATTACTTTACCGTCTGTTATTGAGTTATCATATTGTTGCAAATAATTTATCGATTTCAAAGACATCATTTTTGAGTTCTGTTGAAGTACTAATATAAGTAGTTTTCTCTTTTCCTCTTCGTTTAAATTGAATTCTTTCTCTTATTTTTATACCGTTCTTTCCCATCTTCCAATAGATAGTTCTAGTTTTCCTCGTAGATCATCTGATGGTGCCGCTGATCTGCAGCCACTTCATCGACCTGTAATCACAGTGGGGGGAAGTTATCCGGAACAAGCAAGTTACCGTAAAGAGGTACTTATACTGAATCATTTTTGTTTTTTGTTATTTTAAAGTTTTTTTTTATATTTACCCACTTTGCTCCTCATTGTAAACAATATCGATAAGTTACTGTTTTTAGTACAGAGGATTTGTGGAGATTGTGGTATTATCACAGTTGAACTCACTAGTTTTTTTACATTGTAAATATCTGTCATACTAATTGACTACATACAGTTCTGCAAGCTAAACTAGATTCGAATGAGCAGTTTTTACTGTATAGATTTAAATTATAAGCATCTACTTTTTCGGGTCTAGTTAGTCCTTGTATGTTCAGTCAGTGATAATTGTCATCATTTTTTGTGAATTGCAATGCTATTAAGTTAACAGAATAAAAATACAGTGTCTATTGTGTATTTCTATGATTCGATACGTGCTTAGGATTCTGGTGCTGAGAGTGAAAATTCATCTTTAGCTGTAATCAATACTGTGCATAATTCAAGACCAAATTCCATAGAAGGAACCACATCATCTATGAAGAATTCCGATTGGATTCAAACGTCTCGACCAAAACTCGACAATTGTGAAAATTCGAAACCTTTATCCTCTTCATCTAGTGACCAGCCGCAACAAAGCTGTCAACAACAGCAACTCCCGGAATCTCGTTCTCGAACATTGGCCGCTCAACAACGTTCATTATTCTCTGCTTTACATTCTCAAAAAAGACGTCTTCCTTTAGGATTATGGTGGAAACTTACACATAAAAAATTTAATCAACCTGGTGAAAATTTAAAAAGTGAATTATGGGATGAACAATTTATTCGTCATCAAAAACGTTTTAGTTTACCTGTAAATTGTGGACCAGTGAGACAACCATCAGGTAAATCTTCAAGAATTGTTTTTCATTCAATTATTTTATTATATAATCTCACAAGCAAAGTATTTCACTGATTCGACTAACATAGCAATGGAAAAGTTGTAAATACTCGAGTTATTTGTGTATGAAATGCAGGTTACTATTGACAACACCAGAAACTAAAAATGTAAGTTAGAATAACAATTACATACTACTTAAATGATTCAAGTAGTTTAATAGTCTGAGAAATTAAATTGACAATTATATCTGAAATGATATTGAATGTGAGCTATCTACAGTATTTTATTATGGAGAAATCCAATGTGAATACGTTTATTCCCTTTTTTAAAATACGAAAATCAGTTCTTTAAATTGTCAATTTTACTAAACACTATTTACGCTACCTCAATTTTAGGCACCATCAAAACTGAACTACAATGTAGGTGTCATCAACCATTAACTTCCGAATTATTACACGAAATTCAACAAAAATTACATAATACTTCATTGATTCAAAAAATTCCAGCTTCTCAAATTTCAACTATGCAATGTATAACTAATGAAAATAAATTTAATATAGGAGAGATACCAGAAATTTATCGTCGTGGAAGTGAAGCTAGTCAAATGTCAGCATGGGAGCAACGTTTAAGACAAGTAGGTTACTTGTACATAGAAATTTGTTATTCAAACAGTATAAGTTTTTGCAATCATTACTATATAAACAACATTCTGAAGACTAAAAATCTTACATAGATTTACTCAGTAAACAGATCACTCAGCAGTTATGTACATAATTCAACCAATAGATTAAGTTTGATATTTATTGAATTCGTTTAAATAAATACCTGATCTACAACTTTCAAAAAGATTAAGAGCCTTGAATTTTAATAATGTTTATCATCCACTAACATGTGTTACCAAATGTTTTTTTTCAATGTAATTTCAATTTGTATAGTCTCCATTGTGTACATCAAGTCAAATGAAAAATCTACTTAAAAACTCATGAACAATAATTTTCCGAAAAATAACATGAATTCATCGTATATGGTTAAGTTCTCATAAATTCATGCTAGACTGTTGAAGTTAATAAAATGAATTATGCACACATGAAAATATCAAATACAGTTTATTCACTAAAGATTTTTATTTTTCAAACAATATTTTCCATCGTGGAACGACACATCATTTAAATAACTCATGAAAATACCTCTATTTTTTTTCTCTGATTTCTAATTTAACTCTTGACCGAAACTATGAGTCTTCAGCTTTGATAACGATTCCGCGTAAACTGATCAAAATTATGAAATAATTTATATTATTCATGTTGTTTTCATTTTATCATTGAAACTAAGGTTGTACAACACCTTTTAAAACGGTTTTCATTCATTACAAAACAAATTATTTTACTGTAGTGTCTTGTGGTGCTTAATTTGTATATTTTAAAGAATAATAATATCATAAAATGACATTGTAAATCAAATAGGTTTAGAAAATGTGAATTATTTGATTTTGGTTCCGTGGATTGAGCACATCGCGATCTTCAAGATAATGTCTTCATTTTCACTTCGTCCCTATATTAATGGTATTAAACGTATTTATAAGAGAAAATAGTCCACGTCCAATATCTACATCAAATAGTGGTTGCATCTACATCTCCTTTCTTGTGCTGCTTCATTTAATTGATTTAAATCAACTAAGATATGTTATTCATTTAACTTATGTAGATCGTTGTGTGTTAACTGTAGTAGGTGATATATATATATATATATATATATATATATATATATATATATATATATATATATATATATATATATATATATATATATATATATATATATATATATATATATATATATATATATATAATCATATGAATTTTAACGATAATACATGAAAATTGTTCTTTACTTATTCACTATGATTTTCAAAATCAATATAATAATATATATTTTAAACTATACTCTTTAGTATAATGACCTATATGATCCTGGAGCTCATGCTCAAGTGACATCTAGTTTTCATCAAGCAGCTCCTGAAATAGAACCAGATGAAGACAAAGAAGAGAAATTAGTTTCAAATTATCCATTCTTTACTTCTCCATATACCGATGATACATCTAATCCAAATACAAGATTAATTGCAACTAAATGTCAAGAGATCAGTTCAAATAATGAAACAGTCGATACAGTAACAGCAAGAACAAATATAAGTACTCCTCAATTTGTACAATATAAAACACAACAATATTTATCAAGTTCCGTCATAGACGATAATCCATTAAACTCTATTTCAAATAAACCGTACGATTCACATATAAGTGCTCCAAGTGTTTCCCCAATTAGTCAATCAGGTATTGAATTGACTGATTTGAAAACTGAGCTACATAATGTAAGTAAACGGTTTCTAGTTGTAATCTATGACGGATATCTTTTTTGCCCTGAAAGCTAATCCACAGTGAATACATTGTGATTGAAATCCCTTGAAGTTTACCTTTATTATATATAAACTTTTTCCCGCAAACTGAACAAAATTTTCCAGCGTCAACATGAATCACTTTCGTGTATGTCTATCTAGACGAATATAAGGTTCTTAGGTCTTACTATACTAAGGCTAGTTTATGATCGATGTATCTTACAATATCTCACTGGTCTTCATAATTCCATATCAATTTCATAGGCATATTCAGTGATTTAGGATCTGGAAAAATTTCTTTTGATTCGCTGTGAATACTGGTGTAATTTGGGTATTCGAGTGGTGATCAGAACTATTGACATAATGTATGTAGTTGTTCAGCTACTTCATTATCATACATATTTATAGTACAGGTTATCCCCCATACTGCGTTTGTTTTCATTCAGCTTTGAAAAACAGGTAGGACAATCTGAGGAAAATGTCTCATTCCAAAGAACTATAGTGCTTACTTCTCACTTTCCTCATTTGTTTTCTTATCCATTTGTCTATATGACAAGGTGATTCATTTAGCTATGATTGAATTCATTTTGTAAGTCTGAAGCTGAAGTTTTGAATGTGCTCTCTCGTGTAGCTGATTTCCTACTAACTTCCATAACGTAATTTGTTAAGTTTCAGTTTCATTGATCATCCAGTGGATAAGTTGTATATCCTCATACATAAAAATGCTTAAATTTTATATGAAAAGTATTTTATATAATAAAGTTCTGTGTAAACTCATACTGCATAAAACAAAAATAATAAGATCTGCATTTGTAAAATTGTCAATATATAACACAATTTACTGATAACAATGTTTTTTTGTACAAATGAATGAACATTTACTAATTTTCAAACTGAATAACTCATAATTTAAACTATTTATTATTTACTTTTTAATAGCTTGAAGCAGAAAGAAGTGCTGGACATTCATCTTTTACTGGTGGTATACTGGTATCCTCTATAGAATCATCACGATCGGTAGATGATAAAATTCATAAGTCAAATGAATCCACCCATCTGCCAGAAGTCATATTATCTTCTGAAACATCAAATATACCTTCGTTTTTATCTGATTGCGCCAGTAATATGCAACAATCCGCATTACCGATAAAATATACACTTATACCAAACGAACAATCTCCGTCTACTTCTTCTTATACACATTGGTCTAGTAGTGACTTTGATAATAAAACACATCGTCGGGCATCATCTGTCATTGATAATCCGGCAACATTAAATTATTTAATTCCCCCTGACAGAGATATCTGTGAAACTTCAAAGGATAACATTCGTAGGCATAGACATTCTGTTAGCGAAATGGTTGATAATAAACAAAATTCTAAATATAATTATGAGTTTTGTTCCGGTGTTGGCTCCGATGTATTTAATGTTAGTTCAGAGTAAGTTATATAAAATTCTTGCGAATTTTTTTTGATTTTCATTAAAATTCACATTTCATTAGTGAAAGATGCATTTTAATATGAAATTAAATTTTCATTGTTTAGTTGATTAATTTTATTCGTTGATCATGTTTATCTCCTACAAAACATTCTTCTGATTATCTATATTAGTTCTTTATTATGCGGTGTATGTTACTTCTGTTAACAGATATAAGTAGTATGTAGCACTAATGGGAAGTGAAATGCTTACCAGCAGAAGTTTAGGAAGATTGAACTGACGCGGGATCGATTGTAATAACAAGAGAATTAAGAGAATCATGAAGTATATAAAGGAAAACTCAAGAAAGATGTGCTGATGATGTATTTAATGTACGGTTTTCATATTTTACGTTAAATAATAGATTGGTCTTCCCCACTTAAGTTCTCGTTCACTAAAATACTGCGAAGTCTGTTACACAAGAAAACATTAAATAGTCTTATATTAACATAATTATTTGTACAAATAATATTTCTGATAATGTTACATTCTCTAAAATGAATGGTTAGTTGCTATCCTTTTGTTATTATTCGACATTTATATGTCGAACCCATCCTGAATCAAGACTTTTATGATGAAAAATTATAAGCAGTCGAAGTGAATCCATGAAATAAATGAATTCATTTGTTATTTGCTATGGTTACTGTTCTTAGTTTTATTCATATTTGTAAATGAAAATAATTGTATAAGTTACAAGTTTGTGGTCTACTTCACTTCTCGTCAATCTGAACTATATTACTCTTCATATGGAAAACTTGCGGCCTAATGCTGAGTACAGAAATGGATATTTAGTGACTCAGTTGTAATGAGCAGTATTGATAAACTTTATCTATTCACTACATCAGTTTTCAACACGAAAAGGTACTTGACATTAACTCAATTTATAGATACATTCTCAATTTCTTACTTAATTTTTCAACATTCATTCTAATTAATCAAATCGATCATTTGAAAATGTAACGTTAATTTTTACTCACCGATCACTCAAGATTTATGAGTGGATTTGTACAAAAGTGAGATTTATAAACTGTCAAATAGACAAAATAACTAACTTATCTAACTTTGTTTCAGCTCAAATAATCACACTTAGATACAATCCGGAAAAAACTAAGTAAACTACAAAACTAGACAGAAATAGTCTAAAAGGATGAATACATAGTAAGAACTAATCATACAATCAATATTCGCACAAAATTATCAGATAAATACATCTAATCCATATTGTCAATCCTAGGCTGACTCCTAGCATAAACTTTTAAGATCGTATTTCACTTGAAACGCATTCCTTACGGTATCTAATTCAAACTACCAGTCGCTCTGTCTGGTTTAACTAGTGCTGTGTTTAGGTCTTGTCCGATTGACTATATGATCATCACTAACACTTAGTGAATCTAAATCATTTTCATACGCTAAATATTTACCATATATACCCGGTTTCGAATCCTTTAAGTAACATCGACTTTCTCAAGATTACAAACACTTTTTGTCAGTAAAATGAACTCTAGTTCGTTTGTTTTATTTCTTTCTGATGAAATGTTTGTGCTGGTTCTACAGTTCACTCATTTTCGTATGACCTTTTTTTAATCATGATTACCATTGTTTTAGATTTCATCAACCCACAATACATGTGGGTCTGAGTCCGGATTTGGAAAGTACCGAAGTTCAACTACATGATGAGATGAGCATAAAATCACTTTCATCCTTTTCTATGGTTGAAACACCAGCTAACATCAATATGAATAATACAGGTATTGGTCAGCGCCTTTTCGAACGATTACATCCTGAACGACCAAACTATCTACATACATTACAACATTCAGGCGGATCATCAGATCGACGTTTGAGTCCTGATTTCCTAAGAAGTCCTCGTAAAAAAGTAAGTTTTTATGCATTTCATTCCTTAATCTTAAATCAATATTTGTGAGAATACTGAATACAGATTATCCGTTCAATTTCAGTCTTAAACAATCTAGCTAAACACATTGTTGAACACATTATCAGGAATACATTTTCTATTTATTAGTTCATTTACCTATATCGAAACACAACCTATGGTGGTTTCTATTTCTGCTTACTCAGCCGTAACCGGAGACGTTTGTTCACTTTCTAGAATGAGTTTTTAAAGTAAATTACTTCATGTAAGTAGTTAACTTTGTTTGAAATAACCCTAGCTACTCATTTATCATTACTATAAGCTAACTGAATAAGTCTGTTAACAGTCAGTTCTACTGTTACGGAAACTAAATTTATGAAACAATACTTATATGTAAAATTATTCTGAATAGAGAGTTGCATAAGGTAAACTATTTCATCTACAACTCAGTAAAACACTGTTTTCTATCCAGCATATTGCTTGGATAGAAGTTTAATTACTTTTTAAGCTACTAATAACGTGTGAGTAATAGCGATTCATGATATTTTTTTACGGAATTCAGATATTATTTGTTTGTTATTTGTTCAGTGTGATTTAGCAATTAAAACCCACTTTTAAAGTAGGTTTAAATACACTGAAAATGAATGCTTACGTTTAAATCTGTGAGATTGATTACGAAATTTTCTGCTTTTATTTTATCATTACTATTAAAAGATCTATCAAGAATGGTTACCTAAGTTAACTGAATTATCACACAAAGCATTTGATGTTGCTCGCGATAAGATAAATAAAGTCAGAGCCACAACTAATTCACAATCATTAATTTATAATCTAGTCCATTCAGATATACTTCATCGATCAACACATTGTTATACAGCCAATAAAACAAACTCAATGCATAAAGATGAACGTAATAATGAATGTTGTTTGAGTGATATAATTAATAAATCACAGGTTGGTCAGAATTCCAGTACTACTGGTGTTATTTCACATGAGAAAGATGACAAAGTTAATCCTGTAGATGTTGATTCAGATCCAGAGTTAGATCCAGATATCGATGAGGAAGAAGATGATGAAAAAGACTGTGCTTTAGCTCCACTACAAACTCATAAAATTAATGCAAACAACCCATCGACTCATCATTCATCTCGACAGAGACATAGGATAATGAATCAAAATATTGGACAAAATTTAACCTATCCACAACAGGTAATGCCTTTCTTTCATGGTAATTTACTTAACTCAACTGTTATTCAACAACAGAATCAGAATACATTAATTTCTCAGTTACCTAGTGGTACTACTGGAATTAATACTTATGGTCTTCAAGATTTAGTTGATTTCTCAAATCCACAGGCTTTGCCTGCAGCAGCAGCAGCCGCTTCATTATTGCTTTTCCGTTCAAGTGATGATGATGAAGATTTAGCTGCTATTGATCGTGTTAATCAACGTTTAGCTTTAAGTAGATTAACTGGGAATTTTACAGATACAAATCAATTGATAAATGATTATCCTAATCTGCTTGGTCCAACACTTCCCCACCAAACGTTAACACCTCAACCGCAATCATTGTTACCACCAACAATACAACCAATTAGATCTTTACCTATAAATCAATCAACCCTTCAAACACAATTTCCACATTCCACAATAATAAATGAAACTTTAACAAATAGACGAAACAATGTGCTGCATCACGATTCACATAACTATTCCCAATCTTCAACAATTTCAACTAATCCTCATTCAATTACAGATATTGATGATATCAATGCACCAATCAATTCACAAGCACCCAGAAGTTATGAAACTGCATCAAATTATGATCAAAAATGATTATGCTTATTGGTGTATTATGCATATACATAATGAGATTAAAGAAATATCATATAGAACACTTGTTTTTTATTCCTTTAAAACATGACATTGTTTGTTTTTCTTGATGATTATCTTTTTTTTCTCGTCGTAATACTTGACAACTAAAAAATGTTTATGAAGTCATCTTTTGTTTTTCGTTGTTTGTTTATAAATCTAATATTTTAAAGAGGAAAAGAAAACACAATTAATTCAGTCATTTTGTTGTATTGTATTTGGATCATTGGACATATTCAGATTAATTCATGTATTTGCCTGCATTTCATTTAATGCTTGCTTGTATCGACTATGGGTCTATATTAGTCCCATGGATGTGATAAATTAATAATCATTGTTAAAATTATTCTCAGCATTATATACGTAGTACATGTATACCGTATACCTGATCATATATATTTTTTGAATAAACAGAGTAATATCGAAATAATTTTATGATTTTTATGCTTTTTAACTCATTCACTTTATATTCTTGACATTAATATTCAAATCAAGTATTTTCGTGATTATGTAACTTCTGGTGACACCAGCACACAAGACCAAGATGCTTATATTCAAATCCTTCCTACACATCTTACTAACTTCTGGTTTGTTTACATCAAATGAGAATACTAAAATAATATGTAATTAGTTGTTTTGTTTTTTTCCTTTTAATAAGTGAACCTTGATTTTCCATTGTAAAATTATAATTCAAGTGGTATTATGTTTAAATAATAAATGTAAACAGTCTGTTTGTTTGTTTTTTATTTTTTCGTGGAGAATTCTTTATAACATGAAAGAGTAGTGATCACATTATACATTATTATCAACTGAATTATAATTGAAAATCAAGAGTACTTTGTTCTAGTCAGAATCTGGTATTCTTTGTTCTTTTTATGTTGCTAATCAAAATCAGTTCAGAACTATTATCTTTAAATTATGTTATATAAATATATACACTTATCTTCAAAATTAAAAAACAAACTAGTGGGATTCTTTGAATAATTCAATTCTACATGATGGCCATATGTCTTTCATGATCTCTATGTCATCATTAGACATTGAATGATTGAACTAATTCATAAATGACATATTATCTATATAACCATGAATGTGGTGTACTATATTAGTAAATAATCAACTGAAGACAAGTTTAAGTAATAACAGTAAAAAGTATACAAAATATATATAAATATATTAAAAGATTTCATATACACAACATCAACATGAATGTAGCTTTCAGTGGCACATAGAATATATAGAACAATAAAGAAAATAATTTGAAACATGATATTAAAAAGAAAGAACATAATTTTACTGAATATCATTGCATCTGTTTAACATAAAGAATAGTTTTTACATAAGACTACATGTCACATTTCCTATCGATAAAAGCTCATTATATATATATTCAGTAATATCCTGATTCATTTATATCAATAAAAGTAAGTTCTCTATCCGACAGTGTATCACATTGAAAATAAAAAACTGTTTGATAGAAGAAAATTCGAATAACTAATGAAAAGAAGAAGAAAAAGAAAAACAGATATAACACAATTTCATTTACTCTGTTCTAAAACGATAAGCATTTGCCCAAATGTCAGATAAACAAACTGTGGAATGAAAACGAAAAAATACAATTAAAGGTAATGCTATATGTGTGATAATTTTCCATGCCATAGATGAATAATAATTTATATGTATACTATGATTATCTGCGTGTTTCACTTCAAATGTATTCACAAACCACATAGCTAAATTTAATACTAATAAAAATGTAATCATTGTACGTCCTGGTTTTTTTTGTACATGTTCTAATGTTCCAGCGCATCTTCGAGATGCTTCCAAAATGAAAAATACCTAAAATTGAATGAAAAAAAAATGTTAATTAACGAATCATTAGGATGAAACGATATTTTATAAACCAACGACTTAAGATAGTCATTGTTGGACTAGAACAATCGGCTTTATTCCAAAGTTATCCTTGAGAAACGTCCTCTTGAAATAAAATATTTTAATAAATATCGTTTTTATATTAAAGTAAACTGGAATTATGTTTCCTAATTGACTAGATAAACCATTTATAAAAAGGGCTTTTGATCAAACCACCTTATCTTAGACTGATAAGGATATTTGACGCGGAGAGATGTTTATTCTTCTTTTTTTCTTTTCATAACTGATATTAAAGTTCATCATTATCATTTCCGGTTTGCTACATATTAATGTAGTGGCATCTAGGTTGTTTGTTTGTTCTTTCTTGTCATTATGACATGTGGCCTGTGTGCCCTGTTAATGTATAACGTAACGATACCGCCAATTAGACAGTAGTGAATTATCGATCGGACCAACAACACGTAAAAACGTGTGAGCAGTCTAGAGCCTTTATCGTTCCCGCTTCCTGCCTAGCTCAGCCAGTTATGTCCAGAACACCAATCTCAGCCTCTGCGATATGAATCATTAATTTCAAACATACTGGGTTTATGTACCAACCAGACAGATCACATCGTACCGTCAAAATAGGAAACAGCATTTGTACAAGGTTTGGCCAAATGTGGCTGTGAATGTGGGAGGTAATGATTAATAGACAGGGAATAATTCAAAAATAGTAAATCGTATAATAATAGTTCAGAGGTCAAAACAAAGCTCATAATAAGAGGTATATGAGTATGAATAGTTCAGTTATTTAACAATTATACGATAAAAATGTACGCATGTTAAAGGTTCAGAAAATGATCCCAAAAGTTACCATTCATTATGCTTATCGGGACATAACACTTGTCACATAAACATTTTAATAAATAGCATGTAGAACATACGGTATTAACATAGTTCACATAGATATAATCTAAAAACATTACTTAAATTCATCAAGTAAGCTAATTGATCTAGCTATCATTCATAATACACTTTTGGAAAAATGTAATTTTAATTATTTCCTCGATGCAATTTAGTAAATACTAATATAATACTGCGTATGCTTTAATGCAGTTGTTTTTACATTTCACAACCAACTTTGGCCACAGAATAACGGTTGTTCTAGCTCATGTGATTCTTATAGCTGGATTCAGACACCGATATTGTACAACATTTTTAGTTCATATTTGTACACAATTTAGCAACAAAATGCTTCGTTTACAAAATCATATAATCTACCAAGATTGTATGGTTAGTTAAATTCCAATTTGGTTGAGCTTTAGTGAAGTAACTCTGTCATTCACTAAATCATCACTTATTTATAAACTGTGAATACACATAAACCTTTAATGTGAGTACTCAACACTCATAGATTGCCACATAGTTTACCTTCTTCGTGACTTAAACCAAAGTATTATTGAGTCAAGCTGTAGATTATATCCAAAGACATAAAAAGGGTTTGTTAATAATACTACCATCAATGCGATTTATTTGATTAATACAAAATCAAATAACGCTTACTTGTAGCATAGACTGAATCATTTCCATGATAGCCTTAGCTGCATATAATTTGGCTGCAATTACACCATTCGGTATAGCTTCTAAAGCGGGCACTAGTAGGAATAAATCATAGAATAACATTCCAACCAAACCAATCAATAATAAATTATCATCAAACGCTACTTCTTCTGAAAGATCGCTTAATTTCAATGCTTGTAAACGAAACAAACTAATTAAACATGTCACTGTACTAACAGATAATAGAACTAGTTCAGTTCCTTGATATAATGTTATAGCTGTATTCCGTCGATCACGTTTCACAATAAATATAAAAAATAAACTCATTGCAACTAATGTCGCCATAAATATTAATAGGCCAACAAATAAACCTTTATGTGAACGATGACATTCAGAGAATTGACTTGTTTTTGGATTAGCTTTACGCAATTTTTCTAAGCGTTCCGATTCTTTACGTACATGTCCAACTTTTTCAAACATTTTATAAAATATTGCACCAGCTATTAAGCTATATTCAATTGCACATGGAAACAAATATGGAGCCAAATATTTGACTGTTATTCCACAACCTGAATATAAAATCAATACAAGCGAAAATAGCGAAGGAAAAGTCTAAACGTTGAAAAGACATTATTAAACATTAGTCGAATATCACAAAACAATATAAATATTTTGCCCAACGTTATTCATATGTTAGATGCAAACAAATCGATTTCCCGTATCATAGATCAAGTGTCTCACTAACAGTGATCTACTTTTGCTAAGCAATGCATATTTTATCCCGCATTTTCATTTACTGTATCTTTAATGACTGTAACGATATTTGTGCATGGATGATATAAATCATAATATTTAAATGGAAAGGGCTTACGACTAAGTTCACTAAATCCCAAATGTTATGACGAAACGAATAATATAAATATTCCAAGGATTATTTTCACAATTCGACCGCATGAGAATTATCAGAATTGGGTTTTGGAGATTGTTGAATTTCACTGAAATCATGAACTGACCTAAGTTAAAGAACCATTGAAAATCAGAAAGCCCTGAACGATCTTTTCGTCCTAGTGTGAGACTCTTCAACAGTGCGCATCCGAGATCGTTGCCAATGGAGCTAATCCATGTCAAGTGTGAGGCATTTACTGACCAAAGAAGATAGTCGTGCATTACTTGACGTTAGACACCGAACACCGTTGGATGCCGGTTCAGTAGTCTCGAGGTTAAGCATCAGCGCGCAAGACCGAAGGTTCTGGATTTGATTTTGGTGTGCGGTGTCGTTGATATGTACTGCTGAGGCAACCGATACTATGGTAAAACGACCATCCAGCACTTCCCGGTTTCGATGATGGTCTAGCTTGGATCTGTTTATGATTGCAACGACATGTGAATTAGCTATTACACAGCCAAAGTACTTTTGAATTAATTACTGCAAGCGATTAGTTCGGGTCGAACTGACGAAGCTCTAAGGTCACATTGTTACAACTGTTTCCAGATGGATGAGAAAGTTCTTTAAAATTCCATTAAAGTTTTTCTTATAAAGTGTTTATGTGTATTATATATCCTCAAAAACTTAATTTGTTTTTCCTTTTGTTTGAATTCGAAATAAGATTTTCTTCAGTTTCTTTTGACATACGTAATCTACGAACATGTCTTCGATTAAACGTTTATCGAAACTTTGGCTTATAATCGAATCCTAGATGCTTGTTTCCTCTTATTTCGGAAACATTGAACGGAAGTTCATATACTCCAATGTTATTGTTTAAGTACCTGTCACTTTAAACGTAAGCACGATGTTCAGTGTGTTACTAAGTTTAGACAATTATAGAATTGTTTAGCAGGTAGGATATTTTTAATGAGCTGAAAAGATTGCTGATGTTCAGGACAGAATCAGACCTGTTTCTGTCGCTATCTTTCACGATTCCATAGCTTAGTAGTTAACTCATCGGTATTCATAGTAATAGACAGTAGGCTTAAGTTTCAGTGCGAAAATCAACACTATAATGTAAATATATCCACACATACCTAACACTGCTTGTTCAGCTGCATGAATAGTTGAATTATCATAACTTGTATGGTGAAATTTTGCATTAGCATTATGTTTTTTTCTATTTAATAAAACCATATTTGCTAAATTAGTCAAGTTAAAACTTGATGACTTTTCTCCATTTGTATATTCATACAAATTTGTATTATTATGTCTTGTTTTTGCATCTAAAAAATATTCCGATGGAAAAACTATAGTCGAATCAGATATCAACTCTTCATCATGTCCTGGTTCACTACCAATTTCATCGACAATTGTTTTTAACCATTGACATAAATTAGCCACAGCCAAATGACATAAAAGAAAACGTAAAACAAATTTTTGTACATTGAATACAACCTAAATAAAAGAATAAAGTGATAACGAATAAATGATTTGGACTTTAAAATATATGTATACAGAATGAATACCATGATAACATAGAATGAGGTAGTCAAATTAAATATGAATTTAAACAAAACAATTTTTAAGCAATGATGGATAGTGGCTAGCAGTGGAATCCAGGACGCGCGTTTCGTCCTTTTTGAGACTCGTCAGCTGGATGTACCTGCATCTCAGAGAGTTGGTGTTCACTCTAGGACTCAAATTAAGGTAATATCGAGGCATACGCACAGTATGCACATATGTCAATAACAGACTGATCAGTTGCAGTCTTAAAAAAATCCTCAATGGGAAGATACAAGCCAAACAATACCAAGTGAAAATAATTTATAATAGGAAAAACACTTCAACATTAGACGCTCCAGGATATCAATAAACAAAATCAATAATTTATTGATATAGCGATGAATATCAATGGAAATACAAAAAGATTATTTATGCTTGGTGTCTTGTATAATGAGTTATTGTCACTTAGCTACATTTCAAATATAATACATATACACAGAATCAGCTGTATGAATATTTTGTCACAAACAATTTATTACTGTACTATTGTCTTCCTTGATGTTAGCTGGAATAATGTTCTGTAAAGAAAATGTTATTATTAACCTTATTCTATTCATACCAAGCATGATGTTGGTTGTAACTCAGCAATTAATAAGTCTACATTTTTCAGTCATACTCAGCCTTAATCAATACCTGTTCTAATAGTTGTTAACGTGTTTTACCATGACATTGAGAGATGAGGATCCAAACCACTGTGATAAAGTCCATTCACTCAAAAATAAGCATATCGATTCTATATTAGAAGGTCTTCAGGGGGGATTATAACTCGTCTCAATGACCATCCAAGCTATACAAAAAGGACTACTAATGATGGTATAATTTGGATCGATTCATGATTTCCATGAAATCCTGTAGAACTGGAAAATTTATGAATCAGTTCAGCAAGAACATTGTGTGGTACTTTTAATAACCACCAAATTGATGTCAACAAAATCATAGTAGTTCAAAAAGGATTATCCAACTACAAGAGAAGACGAGTGGCTGGAGTTTTTTATGTTTGACCAAATACAATCGAGTTTGATAAAACGGAAGATGTTGAGACGGCTTCAGAGAATTACGACGGACCCTCCAGAGGCCCTAAAGAAGCCTAAGAGTTTCCATCTAACCACAGCGTGATGGAGCTTTCTAGAATATCACCGTTGCATGCTACGATTGGATGGTAGCATAACTTGCCTCTTTGCGGATTGGCTGAATTATAATGATGTCATTTCAATCGCTATCTATAATTACCGATGATTTTCCGTACATTTTGTTTCTTATCCAGCTTTCTTCTGTTTTCTGATTTTGCGACTGGGGTTCTATAAGTTCAAGTGCCATAGTTATATACCTTTTTCTGCGTTAATCAAGTAGCGAACAAAACAGGAGGCCCAACGATCCACCCACTATGGGCCATTTATCCAAACAGCCACACAATTAATCCTGTTCACATATCACACCACCATAGAACATTCAAATATTCCTCACCTTACTCTTCCACAATAAAACAACCTACTTTTTACACTCCCTTACACACAGCTATGCCTCGCACAATAAAAAATAACGTTGACAGAAATTACGTAACAGTTACATGATGAGACTTAATTGGCTTTCAATTATGCAATAAAAATATTCTGCTTTGCTTGCTTTGTACTATTTAAACGTGTATTAATCCACTTGTTTTTTAAATTCTTTGAAGAAGTGGCTTACACTTAAGTACGATACATCGGAAATTTTATTTCCTATTCATTATGATTTTGTAAATATGCTCGTTCCAACCATATAGGTCGATGAAGCCGATTGGTTTATCTGGACATTTATTGATGACACGGCGCAACTATCGAGGCTCAGTATAATCTTTGTCTTGATCTTGCTTTTTCTTATTTTACATCCAGTGATTTTCGACGATTTATGAACCACATAGCAATGATTAACTATATTCTTCCATGTTACTAATTTATTTGTACAATGTTCACAAGTATATTTATTTAATTGATTGTTGTTTTTTTTACGTTCGTTGAAACTCCACGGTCTTCTGTTTGCTTATGTTCCGTCTTTTGTTAATCAAATTTATTTATTTATTAAGGATGACGTGTATGCATGTGCCATATCAGCTATCCTTGTGTTTTACCATTCTTTTAGACAGCCATTTATTAGACATACATATGTCTATTTTTATTATTTCGGTTACGTTACTCCCATGATCATCTTTGTAATGACGACGTCTCTCTTTACTGCAGCTATCATTTAAAAGTTTGATTTTCAGCTTTCGTTTTCTAATTATGATAGGTTGATTATGATCAAATTTACCTAGTTTTACATTGGTTGAGATGTCTAAACAGTTTTCAATTAGTTGTTCGTTAAGTACTTGTATATCTGCCTGTAGTTGTCTGATCCAACTCTTTAAATGGGCTTTTGTGCCTTGATTTCTTACATGCTGTTATTCATTTTGCACGTAATGTTATTCTTTATTTTTTTTGTTTGTGTACCGTAAGTTCAGTCTACTTCTTATGATTTTCTGTGCTAAGTTTGGTAGTTTAATGTTCTCTTTTAATTTATCTACTGTTTTCTGCATTTTATTATTTATTCCTAGAATCATTTTTTTAGAGCCAGGAGGATCTAGTTAAAGGATAACTTCGTCAAATCTCAGTCCAGTTTATCAGCTTTACCCTCAATAATTTTGTGTATCATCTTTGAGCATTTTAAAGTCAGTTAGTTTTCAATAAAGTTATGGATTGGTCAGATCTCTACCCATCCGCTTGTGTTGATTCATGAGAGTAGGTCCCCACTATCCAGGAGACACGACATGGACGCGCGAGTCGGACTAATTTACCTATTGCTAAATTAATTTAAAGTTATCAAGTCAAACCTTATTTATACCAACAAGCAATTATCACTCTTTTTTAACTCTCGTCAATTTCTAGTCAGAAGCATTATTATTATAAAACGAAATACTTTTTAAAAGTATATGAGGCAGTCACTCCCCGAAGACAATGTAAGATGGCCCCGCAATTTCGTGAAGTAGCTATAGTTAGACACTAACACCGTTGAATGTCTACTCAGTGGTCTAGAGCTTAAGCGTTCGCGCGCGAGCTCGAAGGTCCTGGGTTTGCGTCTGATGTGCGGAGCCGTGGATGTTCGCCACTGAAGAGTCTTATCCTAGAGCGAAACGGCGGTCCATTGCTTCATAGTTTTAAATAGTGGTCTAACACTGATTCATGCATCAGTGCATTCATAATAACTCAATGTTATCATCTAATCTCGAATTATATTCAAAGTCATCATAATTCAGTCCGTCAGTTTACTGATTTCTGCATAGTTCTTACCCGATGATGTTTGAATAAGAAGTATGTTTGCCAAAACACGTAGACAAAATGAAGTAAATGTAACGGAATCCATAAATGCCCATGACAAGAAACCACTGAATTAGCTCCTTCCTCCCATGGTTCTGCTATTTTAAAGCCATCGAATATCATTACTCCGAAGCCAAAACCTTAAGTGATAAATTTATGGAACATAAAAAAAAATTAAACATTAACTGTGGCTTATTCATTCTTATTTTAATAGATACAAAATTGAGTTAATTTGTTAGAAACTCTTAACTTAGTTCTCATTTTGACTTTTACCTATTAGCATGATACATTTGCATTATTCATTTTAATAACCATTCTCTACCCATATTTCCCTTTAAATTAGTAAGTTCATTTTTAAATATAATCTATTGTATTTCTGTCCATACATTACAAATACTTATACAAATGGATAAAACAATCATAGGATATATAATCAAAACACAGTATATCAGTAGCAACAAGTATATTATTCCTTATTAATCAATCACAGTGTAGTAATGAATATCATATGTGTTTAACTGATTTGCAATATAGTTATTAATGAGTGACTTGGCACTGTTTGTATTATTCTTTGATATCAGATGCTTGTAGTTGCTTGAGTGAAATATTTGAGTCTTGGTTTTGTACTATTTGTCACTAATCAGTAAATCAACGCTCCACAATTGGATTTATACCCTAACTAACAAGTGTCATAGTCAGATTCGTTGCCACCAGGCTTTTGGGTTAGTGACTGATTTTACGTAACACGATGGTTACTTATATTTATTGGTCACTAAGTAGTGACTAGAGTCAAGTTCATTTAGTCTTTATTGGTGAACCAATTTGATCTGTTAAGTTACAATATAGCCACTAATCTAAGTGACTGGGAATAGCCTACACAACGTTTTGATCATAGTTATGGTTCGTTCAGCATTGAGACATTGTTCAGTACTCAAAGTTCAGTTAGTGTATATATCTCAAATTCAAAGGAGGTCATTAGGGGCCTGAATAGTTTATTAATAATATAAGACTTCGAAGCTGAAAGACTCCAGTTTGAATCCACCAAGAGGCATCATTTCCCATATGATTATAAATACATCTTCCAGATGAGTGACAATTAGCACAGAACCTAGACACAGGAATTCCTTCTGGCTATCATCAACCGTCTTACACTGCAGGAAATTACAGTAAATTTAAACTTAAAGGAAGATGATGTTATTTAAAATACTCCTAACAAAGAAATTGAAAAGTTTCATTGACAATAACTGATAATCAACTGTGCCCATTTTCGTTATTATTATTCAATTAATTACTTACCCACAGCTCCTAAACGCAAATACAAATTAACGCCTTCTGTGTCTCGTGAAAAATAACATTCACGTCTAGATACTCTTGGTTTATCACCGAAAAGAATTGCTAATGAATAAAATGACCCAGGTTGTGCCGGACTGCTTGACCGTTCACCGCAACATGATGTCATTTGCTTTTTCTTCGATTTAAATGTGTTCAATTTTTTCGCTTTTATTGCCAAACAATTATTTTTGTCATTTGGTCTCCTTGTCGAGTTATATTCACTTTGAATAACATCACTACTATCCTTTATGCCAAAGGTATGATGATTAAAACTGTTACACGGTTTAACTTTGTTTAGAGTAAAATAAACATCATCTGCTTTCATAATCTGTAAATCATTAATATCAGTATTGTTACTATTATTATTATTATTAATTGTATTACTATGATTATTTTCACCATCAATGGTATGATTGAATTCATTATTACCAGGACTATTATTATCATTGGAAACGTTTATTCTACTAAGTTGTAGATTCATTTTATTCCGTCGATTATTATTTGTTTTAATTTCATTATTATTAACATTAATAGAATCAATAATAATGTTATTTTCTTCCCTTTCTTCTCCTTCATTATTATAATTGCTTTCAATATCATTATTATTGTGAATATTCCCATTGTGATTGACATTGTCATTCTGTTTCGTCAGAGGTGTGACAGAGTTAGCAAATTTAACATTTAAAGTTGGAGATTTTTGTTCATTTTGATTCAACTAAAAGAATGGTAAAGTAAAATATAGTGAATGTACATACGAGATTAAAAGAGAGAGAAATACAATATTAAATTAATTACGTATCCTAAACTGGTATAATGAACGAAAATATGGATGGAGACAACTTAATGTAACCATACGTTCAATACTTCACTTGAGAAATGTCCTTAAATTGTCTCAGACGTTATTGTTTCTTCATTTCTATACAAATCACTTTCTGATCCCGTTCTCTTCTCTTTAATCTTATAAACCTTCTGCTACCAGGCATTCCTTTTTCGATTGATGTTACGTACTACTTATATCTGTCCACATGAGTAACATAAACCACACTGGTACGCTGGTGAATAGTAGAAGACAGTTGTTGACAACAAACCTTAAATCAATGTGTTGTTCGATAATAACTCTGACTAGATGATGCTTACTCCAAGTCTATCACCAGTATCGGTTCTCTTAACATTTCACATATACACTGTTACTGATTAAATGTCAACTGTCCTCCTTTTAACTTCCTTTAGTCACCAAACAGAAACTATAGCTTTTTTAAAAGTAGATAATCGTGCAAGAAACTAACTAAAAAGTTTTGATCAGGTGAAGACTAAAAAACACTCCATTAAACAGAGTGTTTCTGATTTGCGATTAACCTGTAAAATATAAGATAAAAATTTCATTCAACAATGAACTCAGACAGAACTTTATTCATTCATTTTGTTTATTTTATTTCATCATCTTATAATATTTTACCTTATTGTTTGATAATTTATGGTTTTGTTCTGATGGATTTTCTTCGTCTTCATTTGAACTAATATTATCATCATATTGATCAATGAAACGTGCTTGATCTTCCAAATCTGAATAATAAAATTAATAAAACAACTAAATGGTGTAATATCAACTGGAAGACGATACTTCACTTGGTATTGTTTACTTGAATTTCCCCATCGATGTTTAGGACTGCAACCTATCAGTCTATTATTGGCATATGTTCATACTGTGCGTATTGCCTTAATTCACAAGCATTATAAGCAAAGATGGATAGTGGATAGCGCGATGATGTTTGAAGAGAACGGTACTGAGTTTGAGTTCAGGACTGAACACCAACTTCGAGATCCAAGTACATATAACTGACGAGTTCCAAATAGGATAAAACGCGTGTCTTGGATCTCATTGCTAGCCGTCATTCATTTCTAGACAAGTATACTGCTTAAGAACAGTTTGATTTTTTAAGGTGATAGGTGGTCTTTGAACAATCATTTTCTTACATGACCAGCTCAGCTGAAATACTGGACATTAAATTTCATTAAATATTCCGTTGATCTACTAAACAATCTGATTAAGTTTCGCGAGTGATAAGTTGATTAGTGATAATATCAGACTGTTCTTTCGGTTGTGAGGTCGGCAACTAAATAAACTTACTGGACAGGTTTCAACACAACAATAAGAATACTCTGATTCTATAGTTCGAATTCGATGGCTAACTGCTGATTTAAATCCTATATTATTATTATATTTCTTGCTTAATGTATAAGGTTGATAAACGTCCATGGAATAACCAATGAAGCTCTTCGACTAAGCCCTACGAAACACTAAACCAAGGCGTCTAATTGACTAAGTAATTACAAAATCATTCACGAATAAATTGGCACGAAAATGGCATCCTTAAATCATTGATTTGATGACAAATTCTTGAATGGATGAAGACGATTTCTGACTAGTTTTTTAAGACATTATTGTCAATATGTTATAGTAAATTAATTCAATAATTATTGGATGTGACCACGTTATTTACTGTTTACTCAGTGAAATGAGAAATATTGACTAATTATTAGGATCGATGGAGTTTCTAAATGAAGGAACTTGTGAACATTTTTAAAGTTTGTAACAGAATTAGCGATTACATAACATGTTAAAGAATGATTAATTCTGATCTCTGTAATTAGGCTTTGTGGTTTCTGTGATAGTCTGACACTATACCTTTGAATTTATATATTTGAAAATAATAATGTTAATTCTTGAATTTTACAAAATTATTCAGCAAAAGTTATCCATTTTTGTGATGTGATCTTTTCTATTCTCCTATAGACATATTTTCAGCAGTTGAAGTCATGAGTCGATTGAAGCTAGACCACCATTGAAGACTTGGAAGCACTGGACGCCCATTTCGTCCTAGTATGGGACTCCTCAGTAGTGCGTATCCATGACCCCGCCCCCCAAGCGAGACTCGAACTCAGGACCTATCGGTCTCGCGCTCAAGCGCCTAACCATTAGACCACTGAGCCGGTCGGCAACCAACGGTGTTAATGTCTAACTTCAAATAATCCATGTAACTATATATATGTACGAATTTACAGCTTAAGTACATGATTTCATCGGAAAAAAAGTTTTCTTCACTGAATTCTCTTTTTCTTATTTAAATTTTCATTAATATAATTATCAGAAAATTGGCTTACATTTCATATTTGTAGAATCCATATGAATTGTTGTTGAATCACTATGACTATCAGTAGATAATTCACGTGTATCATGAATAAATGTAACCAAACGTAATTTATCTTCACTTTTTTGTAACTGTAAATTCCATTGATTTTCTCCATACTTATTTATATTATTATTATTAGTAGTAGTAGTATGAGTAGTAGTATTATGATTATTTATAAGATTACTTTCAGTTTCTTCTGGTGAACTTTGATGATTTGGCCATCTTCGTCTAGCTTCATTCATTTGATTCATAAATAGAATTTCTTGTTTATGACGTAAATTCTCTTTACGATCATAATAGAATATTAATGATTGTAGATAAGCCAATGCCAGAATGGATAAACAATATTGAAATATTAAAAAATTCTTTTTTTAATGTTAAACATGATCATTCAACCCCGTAGATAATCATTATGGTAGATAAATAGTTAAAGAAAACAGAAAAAAATACATTTTATGAATTAATTATTTTAAACTTTAATAGTTAAAAACCAAATTATCAGTATACGGTTTCGAGATTGTGGATGATCATTGTCACTGAGGTGTCCTACAATAGGACGAAACGGCCATCCTGTGCTTCTAGGTTTTCAGTGGTAATCTAACATCAATCGGTTCATGAAATCAAGCAAATAAAAGTCAAATTCTCCCATTTTAATAATACAATTGGCCATTACATCACGTAAAGTTCATTTAAGATTTATTCAATTAAATTTGGATAGAATATTGACTGAAATTCAAAGTTTAGCGATTATTATCACATTTCAACATACTTTCATAACATTGAATCTGGCCATGTTCAAAATATAAGATATTATTTTAAGTAAGCTAGTACTTATAAAATTTTCCCTTCTTATTTTCCCGATATTTCATTATTATTATTATTATTATTATTATTATTATTATTATTATCATTATAACTATGTAGGGCCAGTGAAATATCACTGAGCCTTAGCTAAATTATCCGGCTGTTGAGTCACTGAATACTGAACAGATTATCGATCCCTGTCAAAGTCAACGACAACCAACGCGCATCAGTTGATCGTATACCATGGATTGACTCATGTGGCGGTGGTTTCACTATCTGCTCAGTACTCATTCTTATTAATATATTTAAATAATAACGTCGTTTGTGTTATACAGTCTTCAAAGCAGGTATAGTATTTTGATACGTCGATGAGGTAATCCACGTTAGGTGCTGACCGTGAAATGTGACTTCAAAGTTAGCTGGTTCGTCACACTATTCCCGTCTAACTCGAGTAGACTCCCAATCATTTCACATAAATCATCTACGTTAGTGATTTACAAACACAATCGTTTCGCCGCAAAATTGATGACATTATCATTATTAGTTAAATTCATTTTAAGTAAATAAAAAGTAGACTGTGGTGTGGTTAATATCTTGAGCAAAAATCTACTTCCTTATTATTCTGTTTATCATTAACTATCAGTCAGAAAGATTGATATTTAGGTTCATTTATTTGTTTTTTAATTACAAACTAATGATCACTGAAAACTGTGATATACTGGGTAGTTTTTTTGTTCTTAGTGTTAATCTCTTTAATAATATGGAATATTTCCACATTGGACCACTAACAAGATTTTTCTCAGTCGAAAATCGAAAACCCGAAGGTTAAAATGAGAAACTTCAGTTGATTTACGATACAGTGCCATCCGAATGGGTCAACTAATTGCGTTCCTGTAAGGAACTAGAAATCATCGGTTTAGTACATTCTTAAAGTCAATTGTATAATTTATAATTAATGCTTCAGAATATCTAATGACTACAACGTAAAAGACGGTACTTAATGTTAAAAGTACACATAAATGAGCTAACAATTTTTTTTAAAAACTTAACTCTGTTTACGTCTATTATTGAATAATCAGGTGAAACGTTTTATCAACTTCCTGAAAAGAGCAGCCTAAAAGGTATAAATGGGATGAAGAATAAATGAAATCGTACAGAGGTTACTGAAAAGTTCATAATGAATGGAACATCACCTGCAGAAATATAAAAAGGGTAGTTACATATGAAATCCAAATGGAAGAACACATATGAATGTATAAAGCAGGTCAAAAACGGGAGCCCAAATCTGGTGCCACTAGTTTAAGTTTGAAGACTTTGATGTTGGGAATAATAATGGAAGATTCAGTTGGCAAAATGAAAAGGTGACAGAAAATTGAGTCACGACCACACAATCAACTAAAGAGAGTGAACATTTTACGAAGAGGTACAGGTGATCTTTAAAAAAAAAATTGTAGAAAAAATATTCCAGCTAGAAAACGAGAGGCGTTAAGAACAGATCTGATACAAGATTATCTATTAATTTAGTATGATTTTTATTCTTCATTATGTTCCATGGATTTAATACAAAGTAAAATCGATTTGGATTTCAACTATCTCATTTATCGGTTTGGGGTGTTGGAAATTGTTATGATTACTAAGATTATGAACCAATTGATGTTAGACCACCATTTAAGACCTGGAATCACTGGACTGCCGTTTCGTCCTATTGTGGGATTCCTCAGCAGTGAGCATCCACGATCCCTCACATGTGACTTGAGCCAACGAACCCTTAAGCTCTAGACCGCTAATTCGGTAACCAACGGTTTTAATCTCTGTTATATAGAGCTTATTTTTTTATTATACCACGTATAAATTGAGCATTCGAACGCTAGAACTTCAATCGATTCATAATATTGCAAAAACTTTCATCTACTGTCTGAGGCGGGTAACTGCCTCAAACTCGACACAGATTGAACGCTACTGGTCACAGTTTCTCACTAGAACTCCAAAACATCCATCTTGAAGCTAGTCACCAGTGAGCACATGATTACTATCAGTACAGAGATTTTAAACTCCGCCTGTAGCTCTTCTAGAGTTACTGCCGGTCCCAAGCCCGGGTAAAGGAGGAGGGTTGGGCATGGGTTTAGCGTCCCCATCCCGTAAAAAACTTACTCGCTAAAAAAACGCCTACCAAAAAATATAATTCAAACCATTTTAACTCTGCCCTGGGAGTTAGAAGATCTTCTTTTAGAAGAATTATGACGCTTCATTGTGAAAGCCGAGTTCCTTCGGAAGCCACGAGACCGATGCCTTTTCTAACAACCAGAGCAAAAAATTTTGTAGGTACATGGAACGTTAGAATAATGTGGGAGACCGGGAAAACCAGTCAAATAACAATGGAAATGAGGAGATGCAATTTGGCAATATAAGGAATCAGCGAAATCCACTGGACCCAAGCTGGACAGAAAAAGCTAGCTACGGGAGAGATGCTGCTATACTCCAGTCACGAAAAGGAAAATGCTCCACACACTCAGGGAGTCGCTCTTATGCTGTCCAAAGTAGCACGGAATGCACTTGTAGGATGGGAATCTCACGGATCCAGAATCATCAAAGCATCGTTCAAAACAAAGTAGGAGGGGATTTTAATGAATATTATTCAATGTTATGCACCCACCAATGATAGCAACGACGACATTAAAGATCAATTCTACGACAGGCTGCAGTCAATCATAGAGAAATGTCCAAGAAAGGACCTCACCATTCTAATGGGAGATCTAAATGCCAAAGTCGGAATAGACAACACCGTATATGAAGATATTATGGGACGACATGGACTGGGACAGAGAAACGAAAATGGAGAAAGATTTGCAAATCTATGTGCATTCAACAAATTGGTCATAGGAGGCACAATATTTCCACACAAACGTATACACAAGGCTACATGGATCTCACCGGACCACACTACAGAGAACCAAATAGATCATATTTGCATCAACAAAAAATTCCGAAGGACAATGGAAGATGTGAGAATCAGGAGAGGAGCTGACATAGTTTCAGATCACCACCTTGTTGTAGCCAATTTTAAACTGAAGCTAAAAAAGAACTGGACAAACAGTAATACAAAGGTTCAATGCAGCCTTCCTTCGAGATACTGACAGACTCAATGAATTCAAGATAGCTCTCAACATCAGGTTCCAAGCCTTACAAGATCTACTGAAAGAAGAAGAAACTGGTATGGAGGACAACTGGAAAGGCATCAAGGAAGCATTAACTTCAACGTGTCAAGAGGTTCTGGGTCTAAAGAAATACCATCATAAGGAGTGGATCTCTACAGAAACACTGGACAAGATCAAAGATAGGAAGAACAAGAAGGCAGCAATAAACAACAGCCGAACACGAGCAGAGAAAGTCCAAGCACAAGCTGAATACATAGAAGCAAATAAACAAGTGAAGAGGAGTATTAGAGCCGACAAGAAGAAATACGTGGAAGAACTAGCAACGGCGGCGGAAAAAGCTGCTAGGGAAGGAAATATGAAACAGCTTTACGATACAACGAAGAAACAAGCAGGGAAATACAGTAAATCAGAGAGATCGGTCAAAGACAAAGAAGGCAATCCAATCACTGAAATTCAACAACAGCGGAACAGATGGGTAGAATACTTTGAGGAACTTCTGAATAGGCCGGCTCCAATGAATCCACCGGACATCGAAGCAGCACACACAGATCTTCCCATAGACGTCAACCCACCAACGAAGGAAGAAATCAGAATGGCCGTCAGACAAATCAAGAACGGGAAAGCAGCGGAACCGGACAACATACCAGCTGAAGCACTGAAGTCAGACATCGAAGCAACTACAAACATGCTTTACCTTCTATTCAAAAAGATTTGGGAGGAGGAACAAGTGCCGATGGACTGGAAAGAAGGGCACCTCGTCAAGATTCCAAAGAAAGGAGATCTGAGCAAATATGTAAACCACAGAGGCATTACACTGCTGTCAATACCAATGAAGGTCTTCAACAGAGTGTTGCTGAACCGGATGAAAGATGCAGTAGACTCCCAACTTTGAGATCAACAAGCTGGATTCCGTAAGGATCGATCATGCACAGACCAAATTGCAACACTACGGATCATCGTCGAACAATCAGTTGAGTGGAACTCATCACTATACATCAACTTCATTGATTATGTAAAAGCATTCGACAGTGTAGATAGGAGGACATTATGGAAACTTCTTCCACACTACGGAGTTCCTAAGAAGATTGTCAAAATTATCCGGAATTCAGATGACGGATTACAATGCAAAGTCGTGCATGGAGGACAGCTGACAGATGCATTCCAAGTAAGGACTGGAGTCAGACAAGGCTGTTTACTCTCTCCTTTCCTCTTTCTTCTGGTGGTCGACTGGATTATAAAGACCTCGACATCTGAAGGAAAACACGGAATTCAATGGACAGCTCGAAATCAATTAGACGATTTGGACTTCGCAGATGACTTAGCCATCTTATCGCATACAAACGAACAGATGCAGATGAAGACAGCCAGTGTAGCAGCAGTCTCTGCATCAGTAGGCCTCAGCATACACAAAGGAAAAACCAAGGTCCTCAAATTCAAAGCGGAAAACAACAATCCAATCACTCTTGATGGCGAAACTCTGGAAGATGTAGAGTCCTTCACATACCTAGGAAGCATCATCGATGAACAAGGAGGTTCAGATGCAGACGTAAAAGCGAGGATCGGCAAAGCAAGGGTCGCATTCCTACAATTGAAGAACATATGGAACTCAAAACAACTTTCAAGCAATATCAAAGTGAGAATCTTCAGTACGAACGTCAAGGCAGTTCTACTGTATGGAGCTGAAACTTGGAGAACTACAACGACCACCATCAAGAAGGTACAAGTATTTATAAATAGCTGTCTTCGCAAGATACTCAACATCCATTGGCCGGATACCATCAGCAACAGCCTTTTGTGGGAGAGAACTAACCAGCTTCCAGCTGAAGAAGAAATTAGGAAAAGTCGATGGAAGTGGATAGGACATACATTACGCAAATCGTCAAACTGCATCACGAGGCAAGCCCTAACTTGGAATCTTGAAGAGAAGCGAGAAAGAGGAAGGCCAAAGA